TACATACATGCACACACCCAAGCCAAACCTACCCAGGACCTTCAGTCAGGACAGATAAAGATGGACACACGGACAGATGAAAACCAGCGGTGTCAGGACATGCAAAAAGTCTGATTTTAAAAGATGTATGGGAAATAGATGAGAATAAAAAGACTCATAGGCCTCGATATGCCGGTTATTAATTGGTTTAATATGTTTATTAACCTCAAATGACATGATAGTGAAATCATTTTCACCTCAAAGGGGCAACTGAATAAACGTTTCTGCAAAATCTGCAAACAGCAGCTGTAATGGATGTTTTCAGAACGAATTTAAGGGATTTGTTTACTCATAAAGTGTAAATGTGTGAAATCCTATGAAATTTTTTATTCTGTATTTGGTTGGTATTTATTCTAGCTTAATGTCAGTCTGTATTTTCCTTTGAAAAACAATATCACCAGGCAAATAAAAAAAACAAAGACCAACCACGATTTATTTCTTAAACAAACCTTCCCACCAAAATACAGACTGCAGCATTTATGAAAAATGCATGATCAGGCCTTAAACCTCTGATGACATCTAAAATAGTGTCATGATTCCAGAAGACTCTGCACTCCCAAAATTCTTTTAATTGATTTTTACCTTTTTCTTTCAATATAAACAATTCTACCACTTATTTAGGGAATTTGGGGAAGCAATAATCAAGATGTGACTGCGGTCAAGATGGAATCTGTTTCGTTAAAGGGGGGGTGGGGGGGTCAATGGAAAGGCGTATGTTTACTCAAATAAGCATCTTTCATTGTCAGATTAATATCTCTGGGCTATTATCTGAAAATGTCCCAAAATATGAACACGTGGACCTGATAAAGACACGAGGTGTTTTGCGCATCACGCGCTTTAAATGGGCAGTTTGGCCTGTCCAGGCGGCAGAAGACTATGGACACCCAACAAAAATATACACACAGACACTTGCATGCCATATATACACGTGGATGAGTGTGTTCCGTGGGCCCTGGGTGCTTCCCGGGGACGGAGGGACGCGGCTGAGGCGGATCCAGGAGGGCCGGTTAAAGATGAGCTCCATCATATTGTTTGACAGAAACTCGCAGCTTGATAGAGTGGATTCTTGGAGAGGAGCTGAAAATGGTGATTTCCTAAAAAAGAAGAAGGGGTGGGGGGGGGGGGGGGGGGCAGAGGCAGCCTGCCTTTCTCACTTCTCCGTGGATCTGCAGAATTATAGTCGAGCGAGAGAAGAAAAAAAAAGACCCATCGTGTTTCTTTTTGCGTTCCATCACTGAGGTGTGTTGCTGCCTGAGGGTCTCTGTTTTTATTAAATCTGACAGGCCGAAAATCAGGCTCGTGGTGTAAAATAATCAACATAACGGTCGTAATTACAGACGCACACAATGCATTAATTTATCATATCGGTGGAATACTTACTGCACTCACCTAATTCTGCGAGTCTCCTCCAAAATGTTCGCTTTGCAAACATTTGAGCGCAACGAAGAATCTGAGTAAACATGAAGTTTTGCCTATTTAAGGTTTTAAATTTCAGAATATAGAATAAAAAAAATGGTAGTGTTTAAAGCAAAATTTTCCGTGAAGAATTTTTTTTTTAATGTGGAACTTTTTTTTAATGCCTTGGATAAAAAATTCTATTGATAGTTTTCGATTATCTAATGAAAATACGCATCCACTGCTGTCTGACTAGTCCAAAGGGCCTTTAACTAATGACTGTTATTATTATGCATCAGCTCTTCTATTAACCTGCTAATGTCTGTCACACCAACTACCTTAAAACGTATTTCAATCCCTTTATTACCATTCTTATTTATTCCTGCATTGGAATATTTACACATCAACCGTTACTATTTCATTCTTTGGCCCTTTTTATTTCTGCATTGGTAACCTAAGAAATAACATTTCCCCAAAACCTTTAGCACATTTTCCCCACATTTTTCATTTACAATTCACCTGAAATACTTGAGCTGACACAGACCCTCGTGCAGCTCCTGCATGTGACCCTGACCTCTGACCTCAGCCCTGGAGAGGTGACTCACAGATAGAGCCCAGCAGTTAAAACAAACCCACTCATTAAAAAGCAGTCACCGGACCATCACATAAATAAAATCACGATTATTTGTTTGGTGACCTTGCTGCTGTTTTTTTTTTTGTTTTTTTGCCCCTCCATCTCCTCAGCCTGTTCCCCCCCCTAATGGTTCCTCGAAACAGCTTATTATGCTGAAAGGTTTGGTCGCGCTAAGCCGTGCATGTGTGCTTAAAACGTACATTTCATTAACAAACTGCGGAGGTAAAAGCGGATTTATGAGGCTTCAAAAGATCACAGGAAGGACGGCTTTGAGAGCCCCTGTCTGTCGGTGCTGTGGTGGGCAGGTTCCGCAGCCTTTCACACAACTCTGCAACTCCGAGATTCGTTTTTCTTTTTTTCTTTTTTTGTTAATCGAGGCTGGCTGCACCTGTCTTATTCTCTCCACACACACGCGCACAAAAACACCAGCAGAGAGGCTGTTACAGGCGTTGATCTCATAAATAAGAGGGGAAAACAGATATAAGCTCTGAGATCCTGCTGCCTTTTTAATGGAGGAATATTGTAATTTTTTTGGATAAAAAAAAGCAGGCTAATGAGCCGTGTGTTTAGCTCTCTCACCTGTAAAAGCATTTTCTACTGTAAATGCATTAAATGTATCAACACAAATGAGAAGAATATCCAATTTCCTTGTGATTTTGGTTTGCAAAAAGTGTCTCAGATAAAGAACAATTTTGAAAAGATTAAATGTTCGATGGATTGCGTGAAGAAGAAGAAAAACTATCAACCAAAGAAAATATTCCTTAAACACACACACACACTTCAGATGAGCAGGATAAAAGTTGATGCGGACCCTGGATTCATCTGCTAAGTATATAGTCCGTATCGACGGACCTTTGGATCACACAGGTCACCGAGAGATTAAGACGAGGCGAGTCTAATCGGAAGTCCTGTTTCCGTCCTCTGACCCACACCCGCAATATTAATCACATCATTAGAATAATCCCACTTTTATTTCGGACGGGACATGAAGAAAAATTACAATGCCAGGCAATTAAATGATCAAATGGGAAGTTTGTTAGTAGAGCATTTTTAGAAATAGCAAATAAAAAAAACACATTCAAATTCGATTTTTTTTTTTTTTGGGGGGGGGGTGGGTCTAGATTTATTCTTATTTTGCATAGTGAAATTCAGTAATTAATTAAAATGATTATCAGTAAGACATTTGTGAAATGATAACTAAAATAATGCAAGGATTTTGATTTAACTTAACAATTTGTGTCATTAATTCTTTAATCTCAGTTGGAAATAGCTTAAATAATCAAACATCAACTCAACTACATCTACATTTCCAATCGATTCCCGTGCTTTCATCCATTCAAATAAAGAGCTGACACAAACCACTGAACTGTTTTCATTATTCTCATTAACCTCCTAAAAGACTTCCGCTGAGAATCAATCAGCTCCTTCACATCGACTGCTGGAAAATATCTACGTTCAAAACTCCCCTTGTTGTGGGAATCTTTGACTTGGGCAAACACGCTCGATCATCTTTTTTTTTTCCCTGGCTGCTTTGAACATTAGCCTAGACACAAAAGGCTCCTCTTTTCCCAGCCCCTCCGAAAATTCAGCGCAGGAAAAGCTTTCTGACATCCCGTCCCGGAGCCCGGCCACCACTCACCTTCATGCTTGTGAATAAACGCTCTCTTTGCATTCACCCGCTGCCCGCATTTCCTACTTTTTTCAAATGCAAAAACGCGCAATGATTGGGGTCGTTAGCACCTCTTCAAAACTCTTAAAGAAATTCTTTATTCTCTCCATTCACCGTCCCCGCTGCTGCTCCTCCTCGATATTCTTCCCACCGCCGGCTAATCCTGCAGGAATAAATAGATTTCAATTCATGTTTTGTGTTCGCAGCTTGATTTTTTTTTTGTTTTTGTTTTTTTGCATAAAGACGCGCATTCCGAAGCATGCATCTCTGCTCCAAATAAACAAAGCGCGCACGCTCTTTTCCTAAAATGTTCTGCAGCCCACGGTGCGCTGTGCACGGCTCGGGCCGTTCTACAGCGACCTGTGCGAGCCACTCCTCCGCATGCACGATTCAGACAGACAACACTTATAAGTGGAGAGTCGGACTTAGCTGTCGATTTCTTTCCGCCGCTGCCAAACACGGGCTTCGCGTTTGCAAAGTTAAAGGTTTGGGGCTTGTTGTCGCGCAGCCACATTAAAGCGCATCAGATAATTCAGTCATGCAGGCCAATTTTCTCCTTCCCCTCCTCTTCCTCTCCTCCTCCTCCTCCTCCTCCTCCCTCTGCCACCGTTAAACGGTCTATGACGGACGAACACAGAAATCATCGGAAAGCAGCACTGCTGATGTCCCATTGTTGACAAATCCATGAAACAACTCCAGTTTGCATGGTTTAACAGAGGGGGAGAGGAGGGTGGAGGGGAGGGGGAGGTATAGAGGGGGGCGTGTGTCGTCACCGAACCACGTGTCCAGCGCTGATAGTATATCTTATACTGGGGAAAAGTAATCTATCAGACAGTCCTGTTTAAAGCGCCGGCCTTTAAAAGCAGCATGTGTCACCTCGACTCGGCTCTCGAAGTATCACTCGTTTAGGAAATACGCGCGCCAAAGGGGAGACGTTTTTTGGAGTGCACGGGTCGGCTCTTTCTCCAACACAACTTTCGAGGCAAGACGCACCGCTTCCCGGGCCTGCTCTTCCACCGAGGAGGGAAATGCTGTAGAAAGTTGAAGTATCTCCTTGGCAGAACTCGTGGAGTGCCGATTCAATCACCTTCGAATTTTGGGAGACACCCGATCTCTTGAAAAGGAAGACCGTGTGTGTGTGAGCGTGTGTGTGTGTGTGTGCGCACTGACCCGCGCTGGTCACAGACTTTTTTTTTTTTGTTGCCCCGCTTGTTTTGACTCCGTCAGAGTTGTTTTTCAAATCCAAGTTGAGGAAGCCGTGAGATGACCCTGTCTGGAGGCAGCGAACGAGCCAGCGACATGTCCGGCCAAACCGTGCTCACAGCGGAGGACGTGGATATCGACGTGGTGGGAGAGGGAGATGACGAGGGAATGGAGAGGGTGGACAGCGACTGCGACAGCCCCGGAGGGGGCATCTTACACGACCTGCACGCGGAGACCGGCGACGATGACCTGGAAGACGAGATCGAAGTCGATAAGGAGGAGATGCGGTCTGGAGGAGGGAGCCCGTGCTGCGAGAGCTCCGGGGAGGGGGAGACGGGCACCGGGAAGGGAGAGGGTCACGACCAGAGCGCGGCGCCGGGAGGTGGGATCCAGAAGCCCAAAAGCAGCCTGGTAAAACCCCCTTATTCCTACATCGCTCTCATCACCATGGCCATCCTCCAGAGCCCGCAGAAAAAGCTCACCCTGAGCGGGATCTGCGAGTTCATCAGCAACCGCTTCCCGTACTACCGGGAGAAGTTCCCGGCGTGGCAGAACTCCATCCGCCACAACTTGTCTCTCAACGACTGCTTCGTGAAAATCCCCCGGGAGCCCGGGAACCCCGGCAAGGGCAACTACTGGACCCTGGACCCGGCCTCGGAAGACATGTTCGATAACGGGAGCTTCCTCAGGAGGAGGAAACGGTTCAAGAGGGTGCAGCCGGACGTGCTCCGGGACCAGACCGCGCTCATGATGCAGAGCTTCGGCGCCTACAGCCTGGGAGGCCCCTACGGGAGGCACTACGGCATCCACCCGGCCGCCTACTCCCACCCGGCGGCTCTGCAGTACCCCTACATCCCCCCCGTGGGCCCCATGCTGCCCCCGGGCGTCCCCCTGCTTCCGTCCGCGGAGCTGAGCAGGAAAGCCTTCAACTCCCAGCTCAGCCCCAGCCTCCAGCTGCAGCTCAGCAGCCTCAGCACGGCGTCCATGATCAAGTCCGAGCCGTCCAACAGGCCGTCCTTCAGCATAGAGAACATCATCGGCGTGTCCAGCGCGTCCTCGTCCTCGCCGGGCGCCGCCCAGGCCTTCCTCCGGCCCCCGGTGACCGTCCAGTCGGCCCTCCTGAGCGCGCAGTCGCTCTCCCTGACGCGGACTTCCGCAGCCATCGCCCCCATCCTCAGCGTCCCGTCAAATATCATCTCCGGACACGTTTTACCTTCATCCACAGCGGCAGCAGTGTCCAAGTGGCCTTCACAGTGACTTCAGATCAAAAGAAAATAAACTCTTGTTCATTTTTTTTTTATATATATAGATATATATATAAACTTTATCACATGGGAAGCGTGAGGATCACAGATCAATAGACAGCACTGGACTGTAAAGCCATGTAAAAACTGTTGAAATACCAAGAACAAACAAAAAAAAAAGAGAAAAGGACGATATTTCTGTACAGGTAACATTTGTAAATATTTGTAAAAAGAGAATGATTTTACCTGTTTGACTTTCCTTTTGTTCCTGTTTGAGATTCTGTCGCATAATATTGTTTTACATTTTCTTTTTTTTCTATTGGAGGTTGAACTGGACACAATCTGACCCCCTTTTCATACAAGACACGAAATGTTTTAAAAACATACAAGTATATGTAATTCTATGTAGCAATATTGTGTTGTAAACTGAATTTATTTGTAAATAAAAATTAAAATAAAATCTTTTTTATCATTAATATTCCTAAATGACTTGCTACCAGATTTGATTGCATCTATTGACTGGATAATTTTTTCCAACAATTCTATATATAAAAAAAGAAATAACACTAAATTGTACTTTAATAATTGAATAGGCCTTGTCACATATATTACATCGAATACTCTTTCCCAATTATTATAAACTTAGTAAGAAACTCATTGTCACTGATTTTTAAAAACTCATATTTTCTTACCTTTAATTAGATTTTTTAAAATAAATTTAACTACAATTTATTCCATGGAATAATGCATGGGAATGGATGCATTGTTTTTAGCTACCAAACATTTTTAAAACGTATTGTTATCAGTCATTTAAAATATTTCCTGTAGGTGTACATCCATATCCAAACGTGGAACAATTTCCTCTGAAAAGTATACAACATTAAAAGCATAAGATGTCCAAGGATTTGGCTATAATTTCAGCAAATTTATAGATTTGAAAAAATAAAAATCACCTCAATATCATCACATTTTAGAAGTTAAACTGCTTAAAATATTCTAACAGAAGGGCTTGAGGTAGTGTCTGTCACTTTCCCTGAAACGGAACCCTGTCTGGAGATCGAGGTTTAGACACATTTTAACTTGCTGCTGGATCATTTTACAGGATATTCCGCGGCTTGGCCACTATGAAGGTAACAGTTTCGCAGTTGTGTCAGGCTAATCACTTTTACACAAACAGCAAATGGCAAGTGTGTGTGAGAGTGTGCGCGAAGGGTTTCGGGCGCTATATTTATCTGATCCCCATGGGAAAGGGAAAGGACTCCTCTCTGTGCCTCGATCCACTCAGAGACACCGAAGAAGCTGCCGAAGATGGAAAAGTCTCCTCCTGTACGACAATAGCTTCTCTGAATTTATTCTAACTGTTGAAATATTATTATGAGGTGATTAATTTTACATTTTATATTTGCCACGTTATTCTCGTTGTATGATCAGTTTTTCAGACAGACGCAGAAGACTGCAGAAATGTGCAACTTTGAAACGATTAACACCACCAAAGAAAGAAATAGACAGACGAGCCTCACAATCTGAACCTTTTTTTTCGATCTTTATCTAGTCCCTATAATTTGAAAATAAAATAATGATAACTGGAGAAAGTAATTATTTTCCTTCTTGTTACATGAAAGCCATAAATGGGATTTGGAAACAGAGATTCGAGCACTCTCCGAGGTCAGCTTCTGAAAAAAAGACTCGAACGTGATCGTGCAAAAGAAGCAAGAGACAGAATGGAAAGGCTAATAACGTGAAAGAAAATTAAAACGAAAAAAGAGAAACTATAACAAAAAACAAAAAACAAAAAAAGTCAAATCAGTTGACCAGCGCATTTTCATCTAGGTTTTCTGTGAAGTATTCGGATAACGAAGATAGATAAATAGTCAAGCTCAGGCCTATCAAAAAAATGGGAGGACAATAAGAGAAACCCTCATCCTCGTATGAATATACTGGGGAAGGAGAATGCCATCAGAACGGTTGCATTTGTGCTCCCCATGTGATGGTGCAGCGGTGATGCTGCAGTCTAAGCACAGGACAGTCCCGCCGCTAGGGGGCGTAGATTGACGCTTCGTGCTCATCTTCGGAGTCATCAGAAGAAATGTTCAGTCAGTCCTTCAGAAGTGCACTGTTCCCATGCCTAAAATAGCAAAATACCTTTATTTTTTTCAAATGTTCAGTTATTGATCTCAAAAGAAAATATAATTATTACCAGGACAAAAAACTTCTTGGACAAAGTGATTTATGATAAGTGCAGGCAGAATAGAGATTGTGGCCAAATGATCAATTGATTATGTACGAAACTAATCAGAGCCAGGAAGTTGTTGTGACAAGGATAGGCTAAAGCTGTCATTCTTATTAGCTATAAAGAATAGAAGGCTTTTTTGCCCCGTTATAGACTTTTTAAGATCAGATCATTTAGATAAAAATGGAAACAAATATTGTGTATATTAGACCTTATATTATACAAGGTACAAGATCAGAATGCACTGGAATAAAGCTCACGTTTCTTCACAGATTCCATTAACTGGAAGAGACTCAGAGGTGCTCTCATACGAAATATTATTATCAGCATAAGATGGTCACGTTAAATCCAAATGGCTATTAAAACATTCTGTTCAGTTATTTTCATTCCAATTCCTAATTTGTTTATCATTCTTACTAACTCTTAATTTATTCTCATGACTTGGATTCATGTGGATTGATGATAGTGAAAAGTGTCCAAGATCAGAGAGAATACAATCACAGTTTAAGTGAAGGAATTTTCATTATCTGATTAAATTTTGATTTTAAGTTTTTAGGAAATCAAAATGGAATGTTTATCAACAGAAACATAAACATAGTTGTTTGTTATTTTATGTTAGCATATCCATAAGCGGAAATCCAGTTGAGAGGTTGCAAACATTTTATTAAAACAGTTTTAACTTTGTGCTTTAAAACGGTCAGATTGAGTCTGGGCTCAGCATTAATAGTAGAAGGGAGAAAATATTTGCAGCTCAGCTGTTAGAACCCATTTAAATTCATGTGCCACATTAGAGCTCATAACTACCTTAAAAAGGTAATTTATATTGAATTCAATTTGCATTTTGCAGGGCTTGTGCAACTGCTTTGCACACATGATGATGTGTAACATGTAAATAGACAAGCAGAAAGGGCCATCTCATTTGGCTATTTCATTACTTTTGTTGAAATGTTTACATCAAATTCAACACACAAACTACATTGAACAATATCATGCTACTTACTGATATCATGCTATTTACTTACTCAGCTTCTAGTGCTCCATTAGTCCATTAGAGAACCAACTATTTGACTTTTCATGTGCAGACACATGGACCAACTCCATAATGGATCTAGAACAGTGTGAGATTTGAAAGCCTCAGAGTTAAACTGCCTTTCAAACCCAAAATATCGGATTATCCAAATTAATTCATAGGGAAATTAAGAAATACTCAATGAATCAAATTTCATAAATCATCCAGTATAACCTGCAGACTTTGAAAGTCATCATAGGGGAAGAAAACAAGTAGGCCAGAGCCAGGCCTCTGCACAAACTAGGTCACTCATACCACCACAAGCTATAGCCCTCTCCTGGGCAGAGAATACAGACAGTAAATGTACGACCAGCAGTTACTGAATATTTAAAAAGGCATAGAGATGAAGCAATAAATGACAAAGTAAAGCTGGCGTGGCAAGATATTAATAACTAATAGGTAGCGGTGAGTTATAGGCCACTGTCGTTGTAATGAAAGTGTCATTGCAAATCAGCAGTTGTTCGAGGTTATTATTATTTATGCATAATTGATGGCAGAACCACCAGGAACGTGTCTCACCCAACAAATCTCAGCACCTTGGGAACAAAGATGATGGTGTCAACAGAAGAAAAGGTCACAGAGGAGGAAATGGCCCTGGGCTGAGATTTACATTGTGAGCTGAAGACGTAGTCGTATCTGTGTACAGAAGGTTACAACTAGTTAGACTTCACAAACCACTGGCCCTCCACAGCTGATGTATATCAGGTCGATGTTGCTATTGTACATCACTATAGGTTGCCATTCAGTAAACAGTTGACATGTGGGATGTGTGTTCAAATACATTTGAATTTTCCATTGTTTTGTTAATTGAAAGATGCTCAACAGAATATTAGTTTTGGATAATACACTCATACCGATATCGCAGTAGTGGATATTTGGTATTTTGAAGGTTGTCACTGCAGTGAAGTTGACTGAGTCATGTGCACACAATAATGGAACCAAATGTTGCCACAAAATTACCCAAGCGACAATTAAAAGACACATTTCTGTATACCTACCAATTTAGCTAATTTTCACCAATGTGGTCACCATAAGCATAAGGGATAGCTTTTTTTTTTTATAAAATGGGGGAAGAATGTTGCCATTTCTGACCAATAAATTCAATATCAATTTTACAAATGTGTGGTTCTTTACAATATAAATACTCGGAATAATACATCCCAATAAGTTATTTGTCAGTTACATCTTATTAGTAAGTGATACATTCCTAGTAGCCTGCCTACTTATTTATATGTTTATATCATTTTGGAGCAATTGTATCGTCATACAGTTGTTTTGTTGGTGTCATTATGAACATCTCACTTAATAAGAGAGTTCTGCTTTCTCCGTACGTTTTTCGAGCGACAGTTGATTAAACTAGAAGATGCTTTTCAGTGCCTCACAGTGCAGCCGAAACGACACAAACCTCCTGACCAATCAGCATTTGAAACGACGCCTTGTTAGATGACGTGTACAGGAAATACAAACAGTTTTCAAAACGCTTAGGGAACCGGTTTTTTAATGGTTTCTGTTTTCTTGAAATAGTCCTTTTTACAGTGAAGTTATGCAAACCTGGAGTCTCATCTCAATTTGCGCTTTGCTTGGTGTTGTTGTGAGATGGGGAGTGTCGTTAAATTCATATTCAGGTAAGAAGTGTGCATTGCACGTTAGCATGCTACATGCTAACATGCTCCCGTTTTAGAGCAGCCTTTGATTTATCTGAAACTAGCGGCAGGAAGTTGTACATGAGTGTCACTTTTACTTGTTAGATCCCCGTCACTTGTTTGCCATACTGCTGAGAAACTTACTTGTTTCTCGCTTTCTTTCCTTCATTCATTCATTCGCTCATTGAAATAGTAGCTTGGCGTTTATCAAACTGACAGTTGAATGGTTTCTTCCAGGGGCGGGGAAACCGCCCATGTTCGGCGACTATGAAGCCCAGAGGCACTGGCAAGAAGTAACTTACAACCTCCCGCCTGAGGAATGGTCAGTCTGAGAAATCCCACCCCTTGATGATAATTGTTGTGAGAAACACTGTATATTTATATAATGTCTCATATGGTCTAAGCAACATAAACAATCATGGAATATGTGAAACTACAATCCACATAATCTGCTTCTGAACTATGGCTCCTACACTGAAGTACTTCCACCTCCTCATTATAATCATACTTGATACTCCTTTAGGTACTTCAACACCACTGACAATGACCTGAACTATTGGGGTCTTGACTACCCTCCTCTCACCGCGTACCACAGCTGGCTCTGTGCCTATATGTAAGTCTTTTTAATGACCGAGAGAGGATAATTTGATGATATAAGTATTTATGCTCGCAGAGGGATGGAAAAAGCATTATGATAGCTTTCTGTTGATAACGGCAAGAGATTACACGTTGTTACATTTGCAAAATTATTGCATTCTTATGTAATATATAAATGTGCCTTTTGCTCTGTTTCCGATTTCATTCAGCTGTTTTAAAGGGCACAGTACTAGTAGTGTCTTCTGATTATCTGCAGAGCCAAGTCTATAGACCCTGAATGGGTGGAGCTTCACAAATCCAGGGGTTATGAGAGTCCTGTGCACAAGGTATTCATGAGAGCTACAGGTAATACTAATTTAATATTCTGAAATAATACATCTAACTTTTTAAATAAAAAACAAAATGTTTTCGAAACTGTGCTCATTGTGTAGATGCCATGATTATGGTATGTGCACATTTTCATTATTTAGGAAGAGATCATGGACATGTGTTCTTTTGTTTTAGTTTTTTGTGTACTTTTTGTTTTTGTTTGTAGATAATTGTGCCTTATTTTTATTTACCGCTTTGTGTTTTCATAATTAATTTCTGCATGTCTCTTTACATGATCTATTTTTCTCTTTCAGTCCTGGTGGCAGATCTGTTGATATACATTCCTGCAGTAGTTTTGTACTGTTTATATCTTACTGATGGGTCTTCTAGGAAAAAGGTAAGAGTGTAATAGCCATGTGATAGATAGATAGATAGATAGATAGATAGATAGATAGATAGATAGATAGATAGATAGATAGATAGATAGATAGATACGTCTGCTATTGATGATCTTTTTCTTCTGCTTTTCCTTCCAGGTTTCCACTTTACTCTGCATTCTTCTCTACCCAGGGCTAATTCTCATCGACTATGGCCATTTCCAGTATCCTTTACATAAACCCTAACCCTTAACCCATGCATACATACAAACATACATATACGTTTAATGTACGTTTATCTTTAAATTTTTTAAAACAATGACAGAGGTAGAAGTTACACGCCTTGACAGATATTGGGTACAACGGAGTGAGTCTGGGCTTTGCCCTGTGGGGGGTCATTGCTCTTGGTTTTGGCTGGGATGCGTTGGGCTCCATAGCCTTCTCTCTGGCTCTCAACTACAAACAGATGGAGCTGTACCATGCTCTGCCCTTCTTCTGCTACTTGCTGGGAAAGTGCATCAGAGTTGGCTTGGTTGGACGTGGGTAAGAAGTTTTATTATTTATGTTTTTTATTTTAATATTTTACTGTCTCTGTCGTTCTTCAGTACAATATAAGTAAATATTGTACTAAAGAAACAGGAACGACATAGATTGATGTAAGTAAACATCAATCTTGAACATGGCTGTTGGAAGCACTCGTGCTTTCCAAAAAAAGCAAGTAAACAAAGACACAACTTATCCAAGCATTTAAAAAATATTTCACAAAAATTAATTGTTTGTATATGTGTTATTGTTTTCTTTTATCTCCCAAACCACCATATTGATCCAGCACTATATTGAATCAAGAAATCCGATTATTCAAATTGATGTTGTTTTGTCATTGTGCATGAATGTGGCAGTTGCATTGCCGCACTTGTAATGTAACCGTGTAGGAGAGTGGTGTCCTCATGAGAGTCACAGAATGACTGAGGTAATCAGACTGGATGCTGTTACCAGTGTGTCCAGTGTCTGTTTATCTAGTAACAATGTACCAAGGGCATTTAGTAGCAAATGGGGATCTGGATTAGACCCCGGGGGGAGATATGTCCAGATGACACTCTCGCCATGCCCAAACTCCTCAGCTATGCCTGTGTGTGCAACTTAACCAGCAGCTTCACAGTTACAGCTGACAAGATACCCTGACCTATGCTGAAGACTTTTAGCTGATGCATGGCTTTCACTGCATTCCTCAGGACGAGGGTCAAATCCCAAATTTAGGACCTGCAGACAGTATGCACTAATTGTCTGGAGAACCTCAGCAGAAACTAACTTAAGCCACAAACATATTTAGACATCAGTTTGGGTCAGACCGAGTTGTTTGGTGATCATTTATGGTATATTTTCTCCTCCAACCCCCATATGTGGATGTCTGTCTTCATATAGGCTTCTCAATCTCGGGAGAATTGCTGCAGCAGTGTTGGTGACTTTTGCCCTCTGCTGGTTGCCCTTCCTGTCAGACTCCCGCCAGGCCATGCAGGTGGTCAGGAGGATCTTCCCCGTGGGTCGTGGCCTGTTTGAGGTACAGTGTACATTTTGCATTTAGAACCAACAAAAAAGCCAAAGAGAAAATGTAAGCACATTTAGCTTAACATTGGCATAATTTTTGCATAAAAGTTGTACTTGCTTTCAAATATTAGTTACAGTTTGTCTTCTAAAGGTTTTTTTTTCTTTACATCGTAGACCAAAATGCTACATCAACTCCACTCATAGATTACCATTTAAGTATGATAGGTTTTCTATTGTCAATTCCTTATTTGATCATTCCTCAGGATTCCTCAGTCATTTTTCTGCCAATATGAATCCCAATCTTCAAGAAATCTGTTTCTCCTCATTCAAAGCAGTGTCCTTGGAAACAGAATTTGACTGGAATAAAATAAGACAGTGAGACATTTATTCTAAATGTTGATTAACATTAGAGGGGTTGTTCATCTCTGTCTGTGCAAAGTCAGTTGGGAGTCACTGTTATCTAAGGTGTTACATTTAGCCTGAACATCTTTATGCTTTTTAAGAATTTATAGCACCAAAGCTGTGACAGATGCTTTTTTTGTCATCTTACACAACCCAAGAGGCACTCCTTGTTCCCTACACACTGTTCCCTACTCTCAGCATAGTGAATACCCTTCCACCCTCCAGTGCTCGGCCAGATGGAAACGGATACCCTGCCGGATCAAAGAAAACAGTGGAATAAAATGGTGAAAGGTCAGAGGATCAGTTTACCCCCTATCCCGGGGGTGTTGGGGTTTGTGATGTACAGTAGGAGGATACCAATAAATCTCACTAATTTATGGCTGGGTTGTTTTCAGCACTTCATTGCACTGCCATGTTCCACCCATATGGACTGATGAGTGAGGCCAGCGATACAATTCAAGTCATATAAAAAAACATCTGACAACTGCTGCCTCCTCCTGACAACTTCTCCACAAAAACATACACACCAATATCTTTTAACATTTTTTTCAAACATTCAGAATTTTTATGCGTTAGTTGATCCTTTATAGCATGATCATTAGAATATTGAATTCATTTTAAAAGGGGATTGAAAATTTGAAACACCTCTGAAATCGCAGTGTTGAAAGCTGTCATGGTGGAAGCAGGGCTAAAGGGGTGTGTGTGTGTTTCTTGAATGTGTGGTTGACAGCTTTTAGGGCCAGCTTTACAGCTCTTATTTCTGAAACCCAGTAACTTCTCTCCCCAGTCCATGAAGTGGCACCATAAGATGTCATGGATGTGAGAATTAATTAAAAATGTTACAACGGGAGGGGATGGCCGCGAGCACTGAGGCAGTATTAGTTCAACCAAATGATTCAAACATAATACACAGGGTGTGAGAGATAATATACTCTGCTGTGACGACAGCATGAGAGGCCTCCTGGGGCCAGTGGTCCTGAGCTGAAAGTGTGCACGTAAGCGGATGCTTTGGACAAGGGGACAGGGTGAAAGGGGATGGATAGGAATAAAAGAGCTGCAGACGGGTGGTGTGGTGACATCTGGGAGGGAGTAGTTGTAAGTTTACCCACTGAGCTGCATTCTGCTGTCTCACATAGCTGCCTGTTCACGAAAATGGCACCAAATGCTTCTCCCTGTGAAATTCCATTCTGGCTTCTAGGTGAAGGAGCCGCGCTGCCTTACATTTGCTGATCTGTAACCCCCTCCCTCATTCAAGTGATGCCATAAGGGTGGCCTCCAGGAACATTCCCATAGTGGTTATTTGGAGAGAGGTAGTAGAGAGGAAAGAGGGGAGGATGAGGCTGGGAAAACAACATTGGACAGCCCAGTGCTGCTGACTAGACTGCCATTAAGATCCACACAGCTGTGCAGTGAGCAGCTGTAGCACTGAAGAGAGAGAAGACACCAGAAATAGATTTTCTAGATAGGGTCACACTTAAAACATTCACTAAGGAATCATAAAGCTGATCTAGACATGTGTGGTGTGTGATATCATGGGCATACTGGTGGCTTGGGTCTTAATATAAGTCATCCCAGCACAACCGCTTGAGCACTCGACCTCCTCATATGATCTCATGTGCTCGTACCATTCAGCTGTTGTTAAAGTTGTCTTGTGCAGTATTGATGCATGCATCTACAAACCTCAAAAACGATAATTTTCTAAGATGTTACAAAAACAAAAGTAGAGCTGAGATAGCACAACAGAGAACACATTTGATTAATTATTAATGTGGACAAAAACATGATTATAGTCGACTTCTATTTGTGTATAAAGTGAATCTATACGTGGTACTGCAAGAAACTGTGATTTCAACTTCAACTGATTGATTACAATCAGATGATCATGAAAAATGGATAGATTATCCAGTAATGTATATTATTGTTGTTCACATCCTTATATTTCAGCAAGAATATTTTGTATAAGTGTATGGACAGTTGACATGGAAACTACAATCCTTTTATTCTTGAGCAACTATGGTACTTCAAAATGCTCTTGAATGGAAAAGAATAACTAATAATAAGGGTGTACTGCTATTTCAAATGTTAAGGTTTCATAAATGATATTCCCAAAACAAATCTGTCAATGTAAAGAAACTGAGAGACTCAGCCTTTCAGAAATATTCAGTGATGAGTTTGGATATTATTCTGTAACCAAGAGAACTGGAATCTTGGAGCCGTGTCATGTATTTACTTTTTCTTCTAAATGGAAATCTGAGATGATGTCTTGATGTCAAGCCATATGTTTGGTTTGAAAATGTTTTTTATTGTTCTGTGTGTGTGTGTGTGTGTGTATGTATGTTTAGGATAAGGTGGCCAACACATGGTGCAGTGTGAACACTATGATAAAGATCAGATCCATTCTGTCAGCCAACTCTCAGCTCTACCTGAGGTAATCTGTCAATCTGGTAAACAAGTTCTCTATATTGTTCTCCTTTGAATTGTGTTATACTTTGTTCTTGTATGTTGTCTTTTTTTAGTTTTTTAGTCCTTCATACGCCTTGCCACTTAGGAAAGCTGACTTCTCTTGAGGGATTAGACATTAATCCAGTGAGATGGAATAAGGCCATCCGTTAAGGAAAGGTCTTGTCAGGAGCTTCTGAACATGAAGTGTTTCTGTAATTTGACAGTAAAATGTTGGATATCTTCAGGAATACTAAAAGAGATTATTTACAATCAAAGATGGAGCCTGAAATCTCCTGGATTTTGTTCTTTATCAGAAGTTTCAGGTTTTTGAAAGATTACTCTGTGGAGTGATATGTTTTTTTTTTCTTCAGGAAAGCTGAGCCCACGTGCAGTTAGAAAATCTCAGTGCAGCAGGTGTGTCATGGTGGAACCTGCTTAAATAACCCAGCCCTCTAAATTTAGGAGTCCTGTGTTCACAGTATGAACACGTTTCTGTCAGACTGTTAAGTCCAGGGATCAAGCTGGACTTCTTTTACAATCGTGCATTTCAAACAAATGAAAAACACTCCGGGGTTTTGGGCGTATGGAGTGGACTGCTAAATGCTCTGCTGTGGGGGCTCTGTGTACATAAATGAATCGACTGGGAAAAGTGATCCATGTCCTTCCGAACCACAAAAGCTTGCCTTAAACCCCACACACAGAGAGCACACAAACTGTCATGCTTTCGTATTTACTCTTTATCTATCTATTGGCATCTGTGTCATTTACTTCAGTCGCTCCTGTGATTCAGTTACTGTAACCCACATTACAAACAAAGTGTTGCCCTCACCAACAGCTACCTCCTGACCTCTCTACGCATTTATACACGTTCACTCAGTTCCATTCTAGTGCTTTAACCTCCAGCAGGTGACAATTGAGGGGTTAAACAAATGCTTGGTAACCCTAAGAAGGGTTACTATTTGTTCAGTTCCCACAGACATCAATCTGTGTTGCAGAGCAGAGGGCTTTTAAAGGACTTACACAGTTTAATTTTGGTTTGATTTTCTTTACATCTAAATTATGACAAGAAACCATATCTTTGGCCTGAGATAGAGAAATATTATTAAAAAGAACATTTAGATTTGTATTCATACATAGGGAAGCCAGGACGGTTTAAAGAAGTAAAAAATTATATCAGACTCAGTTTTATTCGTCATTGTAGTCATATTCATTCAAGCACTTAGCAGACAACTTATTGGTCCAGATTCCTCCGGGGCCAATAAGTTGTAACAAGCAATGGATTAGATCAACAGTCTTCATGACACAGTTGTTTTCATACTACAAATTTAATGCTGAGTAATTCCCTTTTCCCCCTGCAGTCACTTAATCTTCAGTTGTTTATTTCAGTTTTGCAATCACTCTCCTGGCAGTTCTACCGTCCTCTATCAGACTGCTGACAAGGCCCACCCTATGGCACTTTAAACTGGCATTGGTGAGTGTTTTGGCTCCAGACTTTTGTTCAAACAGCAGCGAACAGCCTGTTTTTTTGTAAAGATACATGATTTCTTTAGCAAACAGTTACATTGTGGCTTAGAATTAACCAGAATTAGATCATTTTTATTATTAGTTTTACATGAAAAATCGCTTTTAATCCAAACATTTGCTTGAAGTTCTTCTCATAAAAAGTATGCTATTTCATTTCCTTCAAAGTAAAATTATATTAATTCACGCTTTTTTGTCATCTCTTTTTCTCAGGTCAATTCATCTCTGGCCTTTTTTCTCTTCTCCTTTCAAGTCCATGAAAAGTCTATCCTGCTTGCTGCTCTGTAAGTTCAAAGAAGACATCAAAGTTTATCTCCCTGCCTGACAAATGTCTTTTGTCTGAAATATTCATGAATATAGATATAATTTCTACTCACAAGGCAGCTATTCGGCCTGTCCCTACTCCATATCACAGGCTATTATATGATTTGAATACATCGGAAATGTATAAAAGTGACGTCATTTTCCCCGTATAGCTGTAAAGTTCAGTCTATTTAGGTTCAGACTTGCTAACGGATAGGTTATTCACCCTCTGTCATCGCGCTCAGTGCTGCACAAACACGACCCCTGCTTCCATTGTCATGATATGCCCTGTGGTATGTGAAAGTTATGAAAGTACCATATTTACAATTTACCATTGCAAATATAGCGCTTTCACACATGGCCATGAAGACGGGCATGTGTGCGCTTCATCGTTGTTTACTCCTATATGTATAAAGCTGTAGAAGAGATTGAAGCCGGGGATAGAAGTGACAGCGAGGGATTTGGTTCCTAGATCTGCGCTCATCTATTAATCTAGATTAGGGTAGATTGTTGCTTTATTAACTATTGAGTTATATCTCCCACCTGTCTCTCTAAATCAATCAGTAATGCATGTCCAGGGATTAGGAAAGAATGGTAGGCGGCAGCTCAGGGTGTTGTTTGCGCAGGATCAATTATTGGGCTGTAACAGGATCGCCAAAGAGCACTGACTGTAATTACGGGCTAGGGTACTGATGGAAAGTGCCTCTCTCAGAGTAAAGCGTACAACTAGCTGCGGTGCTGCGATCTGATTTAATTAGCAATAGGTTTATCCACTGATTAATACAGATACACACTTGGAGCCTGCCGATTGTAAATTTATCACTGTAAAAGCGTATCATTACTGAAAACATTTTTACTACCAACAAAGCCTTTTAATCATACAACTCGTTTGTTTTTTAGGGTAAAAGTTGTGAAGTATAATTTCTCTAACCGCTGTGGTAAATGTAAATTCCCCAGCCTATCTAATGTTGGTCACCGAATAATTTGTTTGCATTAAGTTTCTCCAACTTTGTTCTTTTCTTTTCAGGCCTGTCTGCCTCGTCCTTAATGACCTCCCATTCGTAAGTGTTTGGTTTCTTCAGGCCTCTACATTCAGGTACGAAGACTGATCATAGCAGACCTTTAACTGAACACATAGATGTAAGAACAACAGCTGTTTCTCAGTTTTCATTTAGCTTTAAAGAGCTTTTCAGGACTAAATTGTTTGTAATAAATGATCCACTACTTTGTTAGAAAGTCTGCCTTTGAAAAAATATTGATTGGGTGTCCTGTTGACAGATTAATCTAATCAGAAAATATAGCAACTGTCTCTTGATACTGTCAACTATCAGATGGCAAAGAAAAAAATGCGAAAAGATAAATGATTTGGGTTGAACTGAGGACCATGAACAGAAAAGACAAGTAGTCCTGCAAATGCTCCATCTAACTTTCACCAGCTGTTGTTAAATTCTTCCGGCAGCACTAATTGTTGTGTGTGTGGTTTAGTATAAGGATATCTGGGGATTACACGGCATATTCTGCATGCCTGTTGTCTAAGTATGTTGTGTAGGGACAGGGGGTCATTCTGTAGTTGCCTCCCAGTACAGTCTGGCTTGGACTGTCACATTGCAGCGTCTACAGACTCTACCATTAAAAAAAAACATCTTTTGTTAGCATAATTGGCTGAATAATGCTGAGGCAATAGCCATTTTACAAGTGAATGAAACCAGTCTGCCTAAATGGAGGACGTATGTATTTCTAAAATGCAAAAAATGTATCTGCTGAATGGAACTTTTTTGTTGGAGTAAATAGTTTGTTGTAGGGGGAAAGGATTTCATAAGCAGGGTGTTGTGTGATTTTTACTGAGACAACTGTTGTTCTTGCCTGTGTCCCTTTGTTTAACTAAGATAAGCTCTGTGTGAATGTCAGGGCCACACGATGAGACACCCCTACAGGCCTGAAAGAGGAAAAATGTGCTGTTCACTGTTTCCCTTCGGGTCAAAAAACATGCCAATAAACAAAATGCAATGTGAAAAATAAATGAAAATCAGCTGGTGACAGGTCAGGGTTCCTGAAGATTAAAAAGAGGGTTGTTTATTTCAGATGGAATTGTTGTTTCTGTCTCTCTGTCCAGCATGCTGCCCCTGTTCCTGAAGGATGGACTGCTGATTCCCTATATTGTGACCTCAGTGGCCTTCGTATTCTTTAGCATCTACCTGCTGTCTGTACTGGATCACTGTTCAGAGGAAGAACTCAGACTGGGCACCTACAAAAAACTGTTATTTTTCCTCCCCAAAATGGATCTGGCTGGCATTGTGAGATGGAAGGTTAGTGTTGTACTGCAAGCTCAATTCTGACCTCAAGATCCTCTCCCCCTGGGTCACGAACTCCGAAAAGGTTGTGGTTCTAGATCTCCTACATTTTCACTGCAGCGAACAAGAGTTTGACAATATTTAATAAGATATTTTAATTAATCAAACAGCCCTGTTAGGGAGCATTTTAGATATTAACCAGTGTTGCTCTGATGGGGAATGCAGCAAGTGACTCCCAACACTTTAATTCTGCATTTCTGTTTCAGTAATTTCACAGTCAGTCATCATCATAGTTTGCCGATGAAGCACAATCCCTCCTTTTCACAGCTACGACTGTGCAGTGTACGTCAGAGCAAGTCAGCAGACTAATTTGTCTCATCTAAGCAGCACTTTAGGGCTCTTATACACCAAAACAACATTAGGAAACAGCAGCAACAAGAGGGCTCTCTGCTGGAGAGAAATACATTGCACTTGCATATACCAGAAACACCACCTCCTACTGTCAGGTAGGAACTTAAATCTGGACTTTTGAATAAAGAGGTCAATCTCACTTGCAGAAGTGATAAGGACAAATAAAAGATGAAAATAAGGATCTACTGATCCAAACTGAAAATCCAGTCAAAATAAAAGTGAATTAATGTCAGTTAAGTATTTTTTAATGTTATTATAACACAATTTCAACATTGTATTTGGTTGTTTATGAATCTCAGCAAAGGTTTTGTAGGCTACTTCAGAGCTTAAATACAATTGAAAGTTAGTGTATTGTACACATATCCAGGGGTAAACCATTTAAAATCATTACACGTTGTATTAAAATCTCTGCTTTAAATTGGGCACACTAACCAAAGCGAATACATGTCGCTTGATTAAAGTAAGGGGGGGGGGGCATGAGAGCTGGCATAGCTGTTATGGGGAGGGTGCTGATTTCAGGATCCCAGGTGCCTTGTATTTTCAAAGTGTCACTAGACCTAAATTGCAACCATGACAGAAGATAAACCCAACTGTATAAATAAATATCATGTGCTGCTGTAAGCTGTGTAAGCTGTCCAGGGATGAACGCTGCTGCCAGCCAAAGAATTATTTATCACTTATTTAAGTTTCCACAGCGTCTGAAGGGGCTTCGCTGCCAGCCCCTTAGCGACAGGGGCACCGGTAGGGTGTCAGAGATTAAGAGAAGGTGTCTTTTTATAGCATGTGTCATTAACACAGGTTTGCCTAGATATATTTATTTACACAAGCAGCATAAATAGCGAGCCCCGATGATGGCGATAAGGTTTCATGGGTTTTGGTCGGCAGGGTGGGTGTGGGCACGAGGTGTTTCCTCCATCATCCTCAGACTTATATTCGGGGTCATAAAGCACAGACATACGAATGATCTCGCTCTCACCATCACATCGTGTTACTCAGTAACACGATAAAAGGTTGCTACACGGGCCAAAAATTTTAATTGGTTGTAATTTGATATTTCAAGCTTGAATCTTATCTTTATAGCACCTCTGAAATGACCAATTTGATGTACGTCTTCCAGCGATAAATTTGCGGTGTGATTGTAAAGCTTTTTTTCCTCTTTTATATTTAAACCATTCGTTGTTTTAAAATTATGATTGCAATTAATATTAAAGGAAACACTAACAATTTGTCCATAGCCTGAGGTGCTCATGCTTTTCATCGTTTCATCAGGAGCTCCTGATGTAGAGTATGAAATTGATCTTTATTAAAAAAGGGTCCACATAAAGAACTGTGGTAGGCCCCATTCAGTTAGGAGGAATAAGGGTTATTCAATATGCTATAATCGGGCATTCAGGTTATTTGAGGTAAAATACAGTGAGATACAGTTCCTTCAAGAAACCAACACCACAGAACTTCCCTTTGACATTTGTCTTCCCTCTTTTGGTATAAACTCAGTATAAGTCAGAATCGTTCAAGATTGAGATCTAAATACTCTCTTAAAGTACTATCTTTTACAGAAACAGCTTCAGTTGTTCCTAATAAAAAAAAAAGTATATACAATGCCCCATTAATGTAGCCGGACAAACTGCATTTGTTAAACTTCAATGTTTGGCATTCAAATCACAGAACAACTGTTTTTTTCATCTGTTACAGTTTTACATCAGCATTGCAGCCATGGCGGGTTTGAGCATCCTGAGTGCAGCTCTGGATCCCCCTCCACATCTACCGGACCTGTTTCCTGTTCTTGTGTCCACAACTGCTTTCCTGCACTTCTTTGGAACATTTCTGTATTTCCACATTGTTCAGTTCAGCGATCCGCCCAGAAAGAGCCAGAAGAAGAACAACTAAGCTATGTTTCAGTCAATTTAATGAACACGTGGATGTGGACCAAAAAACTGACGAGAACAAGTGCATATTAAAGGCATATTGTTGGTTGAAAAATGACACTACTACCAAATGCTGATTCAATGGAAACGTGACTTCAAATGAAAGGAAAGAAGAATTATTTTTTTAGGAGAATCGGACAGATTTTGTATAATTGCATGAAGCTTTCTGTTGGAAAGGGGAAGTTTGCGTCATGAAATAATTTTTTATTTTATTTTATTTTTTACAGTAACACTTGAGTTGAATCACACTGCTTCTCGCTTATAAAAGAAAAACTTCATTCAGCCTATCTGACCAAAAGGTACGGCTACAGGAAGCAGCCACAATAATAATCAGTCTTGTTATGATGTTGAGTTATTGTTGGAGTCAAAGAGGAGTTCATGCAATTTCACAGTAATTCTCAAAGTTCTATTTTGTAATTGTTACTTTTTCTACTCTCTGGAGTTAAGCGGGAGTTGTGACAAACACACGTTGTTGATCATATGAACTTTTCTTTGTTACTGTTTTTCTACTGTGTATTTCCGAGCCTCAGTAAAGACATTTTGTACAAACATAGCTTTTGTGAAAATAAATCCTGTTCCTCAATCTGAACATCAATTATACAGCAACGTGATGAAATGATCTGATTCAAAGCAGCGTCATAAACTGTCTACATTAACCAAATAGTCGGGTAAATCACGCCCAAAGCTCTGGCACAGACAGAGCCTATAATTGGGCAGACATGATATCTTTCAGAGCTTTTACTCAACATCATTAAATATTCATTATGAGTCCTTGATGCCACAGGGGTCCTCCACAAAAGACCTGTCCATTTAAAACAAAACCAGTGACAGGAGAAGCCTTTAAAAGATTTGAAGGAAGGTGACATCTGAACATAATGCCATAAAGTTGAAATACCACAGAAAAAGGTACAAGCAATTTCTTTCTCCGCTCTCTCTGCCAGTTAATGACAGGCATAAAAAAAATCCATTATAACTATAAATGTTATCACGTCAGTGAGGGCTGCCTGAACATCTGAGGCTGTGAGCCAAGGGCTAGTAATGTGCTGCTGGGACAAATAGAAGGCCGCAATCAGACTTAACTGTTCCTACAATGAATGATGAACACAGACGGCTATATAGATAATGTAGAGGTTGGCTTTCCTTTCAATTACATTTAATATAACATTTCATTTGAAAGACTGTACTTTAGAATATGAAATGTGATCAGCTGTAAAGCGGACATATACATAGAAGGACCAAAATGATCAGCTTGGGTCCAGTGCGTCAACACTGCCAAATTTCAATCAAGTGAAATAAAACAGAATCTACAGAAAAGCAAATAGAAATAAACCTTTTGTTTTTAAATATATAAATGATTAGGATAGTTTTAGTCATGCAGAATTCTTAAATCAAACCCTACAATTTTCAGAAAAGCTCCATGACATCAGGATATGTCTATCGGATTGTCTATCAGGACAAGATATAATTTGAAGAATCCTAAAATCAGTTTTATTCAGTCCTATACAGTGTTCTGAGTCACAAACAGCACCAAGTTCTGGGGCAATGCTTATACCACTCTTTCTGTCAAATGTAAATATCAAATTCAACAAATATATTCCTTGATTCATATTTGAGATCATCAACTGAATACCTATGAAACTTAGATTTGCTTTCTGTCACCAACTATCCATTGAATTGGTATAATCTTGGAAACTTATGGATATCTGGTGTGCAGGTGATAGGATGGGAATGTTGCAGCTCAAACTTTGCCGTCAAGGAGTTTCTTAAAATCACTTGCCCTGTTTGTTGGCAGAGCAAAACTCATTTTCAGACGCTAACCTGTTGAGTGTTTTCTGCCATGTGTCTGGTTGGTAAGAGGGTATTCGAGGCATCACAGGCAGTTGTATCTAAAATGGGTCTGTATCAAAACATTAGTAAAGTTTATGGATGTGCTCTCTTTGTCCTTCACATGGCCTCTAAGGGTGATAAAGTGAGAGTTACACGATCCACCTTCAGCAGAAATAGGAAATGTTGCTGTGAACACCAGCTGTTGCTTAGGTCGACTGGGGCAGTGAGAGGCCTCGGCCTTCCCAGGCGCTGCCAAATAAAGAGACCACTGTGTTGTGTAAGACAGTTTGCCTGCCCACACATTTACTTTTCAAAAGGTGTTAAACTGCGCAGGTGGGGCGGATTGCATAGCTTTAGTCATAAAGGGGATGAGGGTTGCCATTTGAAAGAACATTATTTGCACAGCGTTGCAGCTTTGTGGTTAATGTAGAACCAACATTTGTCAGCTGCCAGACCGAGGCTCCTTTAGAGAGACGGGGTCTAACATGTCAGAGGATTCACTCCTGCCATTTCAGACACTTCTCCTACAAATGAGTGAGGTCTTCCGAGACGTCTCAGCCGCACAACTGACAGCCCAGATTTCACATTCATCCCCTGCCATGTATCCGAGGGATTGTATGCACAAAGGGTGAAGAGCAATTCCATAAGCTGTCAAGTCAAAATGCCTCACTAACACAAATCTGGGGAATATGGGTGAAGAAAACATGATTGTAACCCCTCTGGCAACAGATGATATTACAGAGAATGCAGTCCCTGTCAAGGCTGAATGTACATAAAAAATGATGCCCGTATGCATAAACTGGGGCTTTCTGTTAACAAAGCAAGACGTACACATATTGTGGCTATGCATTTATGACAGTTCTAAATTGTCATCTTTTCCTAAAAAGGATGGAAATAAATTCATACACCTTGGTCCTCCGATGATTTCTGATAGTTGTCACAACAGCATTTTTCACTGAAGCAGACAAGAGAAAAGATAATGAATCAAGAATCAAACATTTACAGATGAGTGAGGGAGCATTTGAACCAAAGCAAGTTCCTCCAAGCACCATTACAGAGGTAAATCACATTCCTTTTTTCACGTTCCTGACTAGATGTTTTATGCCTAAAAACAGCCCTGATTGGACAATTGTAATTAAGCCCCTGGAAATGAATTGCTTACTTTTCAACAATCTGGGTTACAATCAAAGAAGAAGAAAACACAAAGTCAAATAGTTAAAAAAACATTCCTGTCTTTCAATGCTGTCTTCAGCTATGTTTAAAACATATTTTTCACCCTAAAAAAAAAAGACTTAATCAGAAATCACATCATTCAAAATTCCATACTTGGCTATCCAAGCTATCAATCGAAGGCCACCGGGTTCAGCTGCACCAAAACAGTCTAATATACAACTCTCCTCTTTAATTGCAACCATGTGGTCAATCATAAGGCATAAAACGCCTGGTGGGTAGGTGGCATCTGTCCGTGAGCCCCCCCCCCCCCCCACGATTGATGTGACACAAACTGAGCTGCCTGGCCCGACTGCCCACAACCTGCGACACAGTCCCATCACTTTTATGACATCTTAAGGAATCTTTTTAATACAGTCCATTACTGCTGACATACAAATCTTCCCCAATGTAGCCTCGTCTATGGCCTGATCAATTTTTACACTGCTGAGCCATAGCCTTTACCCTCATTTTGTCATCTCAAAATTCACATTATACAGGATTTCCTTGTGGGAAAAACTGCAGTGAAAATATGTTACCGCTCTGATGATGTGTACAAGTCACTGCCCCGCTGTTGCTGAAACTCTTCGGAGAAGACCAAATTTGTTTCGCAGTAAGCAGAACTGTTTAAATGTTATTTATTTTTACGTTCCTAAGAAAATATATTGTGAAGCACAGCATTGATTTAGAACATAACCATGTCTGGGTACGGGTTGGAGGGGCTGAATTTATGAATCCTTTGCACAACTCCTTTAATTGAATTTTCCAAATCTCTCACCTCACACAAATAATCAATACCTACTGCTGAGGGAAACTTGCCTCAGAATTATTAGGGCCTTTCTTTTTCAATTTTCTAGTCATCAGCAAATACAGGCACTGCAGGTATTTGTAATGCTGTGACTATACCCAGAGGATTTATGCTCACTGCTAGCCTGATTGCTCACTGAAAGTGACTTCTTTAGAATGCTTATACTGAAACTTTTGTTAACCTTAAAAGAACACTCATGAGATCTTCCCAATGCTGTAATCTCCCCGTGGAAAAGAAGACAGTTTTAATTATTGCAGTTTACAGTACAGTACAGTTTACAGGAACAAAGCTGGACAGTACCACTTCCTACATTCTGCCTGGGTTAATTATATTCATCAATATGGTTAAAGTTCGACTTTACATTTATTGGTGATCACACACTTGAGTTGAGCAGCGTGCACATGAGTCCAACATCAACTGAAACAATCGCTTAATCAATCAAACCTAAAAGAATCCCCTGGAGATCCCCTGCAGATAAATATGTCCATCCTCAGGATACAAATGTTCGTGCTGCGCTGTCTTGTAATTGCCGATGAACACTAATGTTTTCCCACTAATGATAGACATGGATTTTTAAGTCCTCCGTTTCTTAGACTTTCTTGGACATTCAGCACATGAGCCCTGAGCTTGACCATATCAGCAAATCTGAACAAACACTTTACACTAGAGGAGAATCATGCTTCAAGATACCATCAACATCATCTGTCTGGATTTCATGCTCCCAGAAGATATAGGCCAGAGCTCTTTAGTGGATTTGAATAACAGTTTGTTTACTTAAAATGTGTGTCTCCGTGCAAATAGAGGGCCAATTCTCTTCCACAGCTATCTGCTTTGGCATTGCAAGGTCTGTTGTTGTAAGGAGGTTTATGCAAAGCTGATAAATTTCATGGATCTACCATGTGACAAAAATGTGACATTCCTGGGGTGTGGATCCACAATGTATCGTGTATGTTTGGTTGCTTTACTGGAACAAATTAAAATAATTTCTAACAACCTTATCGGAAAACAAGCTTGCCTCCTGACAATACCCCCTATTCACTTTCCACAAGTTCTCCATTGTACGATTGAATCACAAGAATTGCTCTGCTTCAGGCATAATATGTGCCTAAAATAATCAAATTAATTCTTTCCCCAGGAAATCTACTCATTGACTTGTTTGTGTAACCATAACAAAATGTTGTTTTTCACCAAAGGTCGCAGCGCACACAACTCAGACAAGCATCCATTGATGTTAACAATAAATAGCAAAGAAGTTGCAGGAAAAAAGGATAATCAAATAGTGAAGTATTAGCACATGGGGATGTCCATAAGACTTAAACAGCCTTGTGACTGCATTTATTTCCCTTCTGATCTAAATGTCTGACCAAAAATCTGAGTAAAAGGACTTTCCTCTAATCTTTAACATATTTAAAGACACATTTACATAATCTAAATGTTTTAATTTACATTTGCTTTAAGTCAACTACTTCTGTCTGTTGTTGTAGAATCACTCTGCTCATAAGATCCAGATGTGACTTTCAGATTATGTTGATAAAGTATTTTAACTCCCCAGATGTTAAACAAAGTCTCCCCAATATGTGATGGTGTGAAAATTGCTAAAGACAGTTAAAGAATCCAAAGTTAGTTGATACTAATGTTCTGTAATGCTCACCAGACATTTTATGGTGATTTTAGAAATCATATTTCCTTTCATATGTGATTGTTATCTGGATACTGAAAGGGCAGCAATTATCTAAAAATGGGAGCAATTCTAACGCCTATGCAGACTCTAAAGGCTCAATCTTTGCATTTGTGAGATTTAAAATTATCTGATTAAACAAGTGTCACTTAATTCACACTTGAGTGGTTGAGAAAAATGCATTAAAAAACTCTGACGCACCCTCACCTGAGACACATTTCTAAAGAAAAGAGTATACTTACTCTGCTCTTTGTGTCTCCTACTTTCAGCTTTAACTCAACTAAGGACCCAGTGAGACACGTCCTTGTTCATTGCTGCCCTCTGCTGATCCATTAGAGTACAGAAAATACAAATCCAACAAGAAAAAGGAGAAAGGTTGCACTGGAAACAAATGGCCAAAGAAACAATTAGTCAGCTCCGCGAGCAGCGATTCCTAAAGTACAAGCCATGTCAGAAGCCATGTCAGCATGTGGAAAAAATCATCATCTCTCTCCATCCAGGGATATGATGGAGAGAGAGCTACATTTCCGCCTGTTCTAAAGATTTAGGACCAACGAAAAAGACTTTCTCGCAAAGATTTCCACCAGCTCTTTAATAGCTTTGATTAATGTGACCATTGATCGCTCCAGTTTAGATTGCAAAAAATCTAGTCTGGTCAAAGAATATGAGAGAGGAAAAAGAATCCCCTGGATAAATGACTCATAACTTTAAAGTTATCTGATGTATTTTAAGGGTTAACAAAAGTGCTTTACTTCCTGCAAACACTTCCTCAGTAGAAGCTAGAGCACCTGGAGAGAACCAACGCATTTATGGAAAGAACAGGCAAACTCCACACAGAAAGGTCCCAGTGGGGATTCAACCAGGAGACCTCTTGGTGCTTGCTTTTTTCCAACATGGTAGTATTCTGTTGGCTGTAAGACCGCCTACACCTAATGCATAAATGTTCAAAATCCCCCTCTTTTTAAAGTAAGTTATTCGTTCAATCTCTTTTTAAATAATGTAAGCATTTACCTAACATTTATATAAACTTTATTTAGTGTCCACCAATGTTTTTGGTGAGGAAGGGTGTACAATTGTCCCGCCAAATAAAATCAAATATAATTTTAAGAATGGCAAAAAGTTTAAATGACAGTGGGCCCCAAATGACCCCGATGTGACAAAGTTAAGTGAGCCTCATGAATTAACTGTAAACTGAGCTTGTGTTAGTGGTGGCACTATAAAAATGAAAACTTAATGCTTATCTTGATGGATCTGCATGATACCAAATGTCTGCCTCAGTTGAGGAAATGGTTTTTGCGTTAAGCGACTCTTATACAACTATTTTTAGTGCTATGTAAATCACTGATAATTTGGCCAGTGATGGATCTCTGTCATTCCATGTCTCCTGTCATTAAATTCTGATATGTCATTGTGACCATCAGGAGAGTGTGGTTATTGAAATATAGCAACTCGTAAAAAGGAGTTCTGGATGAGTCTGTGCTTTTCAGAGTTTAGCTCTACAGATGCTGACAATTATCAAAAGCTTGTTTTGATGCTTTTATGTGAACATTAATCTTGAAAGTTAAAGTAAAGGCATCTTTTACAAGAGCAACACAAGTTCTTAGGGGGTTTTGTCTTCATATTTTACGAATTGGGTGTATCCTGTTAGGTAAGTTTGAAATATCTAGTGACACAGTCTTGCAAATGTTGGGGTCCATGTGTGTATGTACACCTTGAAAAATAACTGCTCCACTTGATAATTTTCTTGTTTGGCTGCTTTACATCCTGTAATTAAAATAGATTTTGTTTAGTATAACTTGAATCAATAAGCTTCCTTTTTGAAGATGCCTTTTATTTGCACTGAAATAAAAAGGAAATAAAAAAAAAAAATCCCTAAAGCTTTAGTTTGCACATTTTAACCCTCGAACATTATTACTTTGTAGAGCCTTCATTTCCAGCAAACACAGACTCTTTGGTTCACATTTCCACCTTTATTGCCTATTCCTAAGGGGAAACTCTTCCAGCTGCTTCAAAGAAATTGGCTTATTCTGGGGAACAGCAGACTTTATGTTAGGCTATACCACAGTTTCTGATTGAGGTCTGGACAAGACCGTTCCAAGACTTTAAACATACACATGCTGGACTGGGAAGGACCCAGTCTTATTAAACTTATTAAATTAGGTCAAATTACAAAGACGTGCATCTATGTCTGGGGCTTGTCCCCGTTCGATAAAGAACGGGATGAAGTCGTTTTCAGTGACCGCCGGAACATTTTTACGTTTGTTTCCAGCCGGTCGTATTTAATGCGTACCGCAGAGTTTTTGTTCTCCTAGCAACAGGCAAGCAAAAGAGACGTCGTTATGGATAAATGGCAATGATGATTCCAGGATGTAGATGGCATGTACTGCATGAAATGAATTGATTTAGGTTCATTCTAGTGGTCCTATTGGATCATAGTCTGTTCTGTCTCTACGATTCGGCCACGGGAACAAGCAAACGACGACCAGATCGAGACTCTTTGCCAAGAATGTCTTTTCAGGAGTCACCTCGGCACTCTGAGGAGGAGTCTTTCTACATGCAGTGTAGAGCTGCATACCTAGCTGTGTTCAGATCTAGTTTGACCAACATTACTTCAAAACAGCAGTTATGTCGCGGTAAGCTAAATGTGAGCTAGCTATGGGACCCACATTTGTCAACTAAGAGAATCACTGTTTAATTAACTCTGTGAGTTAGTTTTTATAATCTTAGGCACGAGCAGATCTTAGAGTTTAACTGTAAATAGTTTTTGCAGCATATATTCTAAAGGGCTTTTTAAAAAATCTCTTTTATAATGCATTTGTTTACATAACAGGGGAACTGCTAACACTGACACACATGGTAACAAATAATACATACCAACTGAAGGAAACCTATTTTTGGTTTGATCACAGCTGGGTAACTTAAATGCCTGGCTTTGAATGTTTTATTTAGCATGCAGTTGAAACACCTGATTATGAAGTCCTCCTTCCTACTACTTGTCCTGTTCTTCCATGCAGCTCTCCAGCAGGCAGGCAGAAACCCATCCCAGGCCACGCTCACTAAATACTGGACCACTAAAACATCTAAACTAAACTTTGATGACTTCTGTGAGATTCTCAAATGTGAGAGGAAAACAGAGGAGGCTGAGCTAGAGAGAGCTTTCAAAAAGATGGATGTAAATGGTGATGGATACATCACTCACAGTGCACTGGAGAAGGCTTTAACCACCGTGAGTAGCCTCAAATATTCTTAATAAAAGATATGCAAGCAATTTATTATTTTTTCATTTTTTTAAAAGAATAAAATGTTTTTCTGACATTGTGTGTGGGGGAGTAATTTAAAATATTACTGATTTGGATTGCCTGGAGTTTTTATTATGATAATCTGTAAACAGCTCATGCACAAGAACATTTATTTTGTATTCATCCATAAGGTTTCCCTGAATTTGAAATGTGTTCAATCTCACAGAGGGGAGAGAAAATGACAGCTGAGGAAATCAGTGCTGTTTTCTCAATAGCTGACATCAACAAGGATGGCAAACTTGATTATGTAGAAGTAAGTCTACAGAAGAATAAAATGATTTCAACTTTTCCTCCCCATGCTTTGCCGCGTTTGTGATATTTACTATGTGTACACTTATCATATGAGCTGGGAAGGAAAAAATAGGTCTGGGCTTATATAAATCTGTAAAATTCCAAACTACATTGTAGTTACTATCTTATCTAAAAACATTTAAAAAACTGTTTGCAGTAGTTTCCAGCTTTACTTCTACTTCTTACCATAGGACAGCTAAGGAGAGAATGTTTTTTTGCAAAGCTGTTTTGGCTCAATATTTATTTTAATATTTTCTCCATCTAGAATGTAATAATTTCTGCCCCTGGTGGTCTAAAATGTTGCTCATTGGTCACCCTCTTAAGGCCGTTCCCCTGTTGTTGTCAGTTCTGCAGGCTGCTCGTGTCTACAGTGGAACAGTGTCAGAAGGCTGCCTTGGAGCAGCTTGAGGCCGATGCCAAGCTGAAGAAACAGAACTTTGGAAGTCAGTTATGCAGCCCCCCAAGCAGCTCTGTGCCATCAGCAGCAGCGGGGGCAACTGGCAGTGCAGAATCTGAATCCACTCCTAAGAAAGGTGCAACGCTTGGCCTGCTGGACATGTATGATGTTCGGGAGAATACGATGCAAATGAGTACGGTTTTTAATGCAAAATGTATTTGTGTAGCAGTCACTAAAAGTCCAACGCAGTCTATTTTCAAATATATATCAGGGGTTATTTATATTTCCATGTATGGATGCACAGCCATGCATTCCCAGTGTCCCAGTATGCCTCACTGATTGGTTCTGATGAATAAATAATAGCTCTGTTATTGATCAAATTTTCACCACTAATATGACAAATCACCTCTCTAAAGCAGTCCATATATCACATCAGACCTGCAATAAGGTCAGTTTGTTGAGAGGGAGGAGACATCAAAGTGTTTTCGTATGGGTGATCATTTCTGCCATTACAAGATTGACAAAAGCTCTGTCTGCACAAAAAGAGAAAAATCTGCCTTTCAGCTACCTGTTTTAGTTCCGTTTGGGTCCAGTCGAGCTTCAGTTTTTCTACAGACAGAAGCAGCACTTATCTTGTGAAAGTGGACGTAAAGCTCCACTTTTTCATGTTAGAACTACAGTGCTGAAGAAAAGCTTAAAAGAACTAAGATTCAGGGTGAGGAAGCCACAGACAGGCCCACAGTGAGATGATAAATGGGGTTGATTTAAGTGGTCTGTCCATGTTCTTGTTATTGATTCAGAGGATTCCACCATTTCTCACTGGGGAGGTGATGAGAGATTAGAGAGGAGGCCCAGTCGCCCTCCACTGCAAAAACAAATGAGCTCCTGGATTGTAGTCGGGATTATCACATTATTGTGCCTCTCCCATGTATTGATTTCAACCTGTTACATTTTAACAAGGCTCTGACATGAGATGCTGCATGATCGCACATGTTGAATTGGTTATTCTTGGAGCTCAAAGACTGTTTTGACTTTTCATTTGCTCTTACTGCTGACTGCAAAATTCAGAGAACACGTTTTACTGGTGCACACTGGTGCTTTTAGCTGATTTTCTCCCAAATATTTTATAAGACTAGTAATGTTTTTGGCATCAGCATTTTCATCAAAAGGCGGGAATTTTAAAGAATTATCTTTAAAATTCAGAATAATTTATTTAAAGAGCCACACTTCTGTCCACCTTTGTCCAAATTCACTCACTCAACATTTTGATTTTTCTTGATTAAAATTCTGCGATCAATGTAGAACAGATTCATGATTGAATGCCATGGCAGTGGCTCTATTTATTTCTTCTCCACAGTAATTTGCTTGTGAGCCTGTCACATTACTTTGCTTCCTTATTTCCCAGGATTTCAAACAATCAGACCCCTCATTAGTGAATTGATATTTTCTAGCCTCAATTAGTCTTCAAGGAACAAAGTTGTGCAAGATAATGGATTTGAAAGGGCGCTGTTATGCCATTTGTGATTCAAAGTGCACTATAATTAATTAAAGGAAGCTTGAACTTGAAAATCCATCTTTCTTGGAAACCAAATGCAAGTAACCACTCTGGTCTGAACTCAGTAATAGACTTCTTTGAAAACAGATTACAGTGTGTTATGTCATGCACTTTGTCTGTCTTTTCAAAAGTGTAAGAATGGAGGGTTGGGTCCCACCTAATATAGCAGTAACAAATCCATCCTTTTCAAAAATCTGTCTCCTGCTGCTTTTCCCCCCCTTATTGAGTATCTCTGTTAAGGCCTCCATGTGTCTGACAGGCGTATGTGTCTCTCCTCAGACAGCCGATCATCCTCTCGTCCTTCTTCAGGGCGCAGCAGGCAGTCGTCTCTGTCAAACTCAGCCTCAATGAGCAGCACCAAGACCAGCAGAATCCCAGAGCCTCCAGGATTGCAGGTGACCCCTTTCAGTCTTTTAACTTTCTTACAGTCTCCACTGTGAGCTTCACTGTCAGCTTTTTCTTTCCACTTTCCTGTGAATCTTTGAGTCAGTGGAAAGTTGCTTTTGAAATCTCAAAAGGGTTCATATCCAGCAATCCTTCCCTTTACTATAAAAATGAGTGCTTCCGGAGCAGAGGCAGGCCTCTTGTCTGCTCTGGTCACTGTCGTAATGTGGTTTTGATGGGCGGATTTGGCCCGGGATGTATAGACACGCACTGTATCGATCCCACACTCTTTGTTTTCAGTCTTAACTGAAAACAAAGAGTGTTTCTAGGCTTAACCTTGGCTAGTTTGCTTTATGGCAAGGAGCGAAAGTAAATAAATAAATTCATTAAAAAAATAGCACTGCATCAAGAATGAAAGGGGCCAGACATCATTGAAGTAAAAGAATGTGCGTCCAGAGATTACCTCAGAGGAAACTTACGGTCTCTATATTGGCTCCTATGTTGCCACGGGCTGATAATTACGGCGAGGCAGGTGGAGGTGTGTAAACGAGAATCTGTATTGTGTGAGTGGAATAAATCTTCATGAACAGAGATCTACATGGGAGGGATTATTTTTACTTGTTCTCAGCATTTCTTATGCATAGACAGGAGCAGTAAGAAAATTGAGCGTTCGCGTGTGTGTGTGTGTGTGTGTGTGTGTGTGTGGCTGCGTGTCCTGTGACTCCCCGTGAAACCGTAAATCAGACCTGTGGCTGGAGCAGGTGACAGCCTCTGTATTAGTCTGCAGGCTGACCCTCTCTCTATGGGGGCATTAATTCTGATGTCCTTAAGCAGTGGATGGGTGCCCGTGGCATTTCACTCTTTTAATATTTTCTGGACAAACCACTGAAGTGTTATGGTTTGATCTTTTATGCCTTTCCCATACTTTGAGAAAATGGCTTTTCTCCAAAGGAGTGGCATACTCTGTCTTTATGGGACTTTCTTTGTTTAACTTGGTGATTTATTTGTCCACTAAAAGGATATATAGCCTATTCCAGACTCGCTTGGCCCTCAATGCCCCCTTTTTGTGTGTCCACACCAACTGTGTTTTCATTTTATGTACCCCCAATGAGGGGAATGAAAACTTCCTTGCGTTGATGTTCCTGTTCAATTTCAAATGATTACCTCATTTTAGTTGTGCTGCCAGACACAGGAACAACAGGATTTCAAAATGGAAGAAATATTAGGTTTCATAAACATTGCCAAAGTAGGCCCCTGACAGTTGACAGTTGAATGGCCGCTTGCTCAAGATTGAAAATGCTGAATTTATCAAAGTTAAATGGACTGTTTGCCATATCAGGTCCGAGAGGGCGATTGGTTTGAGCCAGCAGCAGAAACACAGCGTGCCTCCTCTGCCCCCCGCTGGAGGAGCATGAGTACCGCATGTCCTCATGCTGAGCCCGCATTAGCCGTGTGGTAATGAATATGCCCCCTGAAGATTGGAGGGGTAATTATCACAAAGCCGCTTTCTGTTAATCAACAGAGTTCCTTCACTGTATGAGTGACTGCGTTAATTTGCTCTTTCACGGCAAACTATACTTCTCCTGTCACAAGACTAATCCTCCTTTAAATGAGAACTGCAAATTAGTTTTGGTTTCTGTTGAATGAATAAATGCATTTTGTTGTCAGAGGAGAAAAGTGTTTTTGTACCTTTGTCACGATCTGAACAGAGAATGATTATATATGGAAATGTATTCGGATGTGTATCTAAATGATAATTACATATATATAACAAGACATGCCCTTTTAATAATCAAATAAAAGCCTCAAAATGGAAAAAGTAGGAGTATAAGTTCATTTCAGTTTTTTTCCCCCTTTTTTTTTAGCTATGTTTTGGTGGTAAGAATAGAAATGTTATTCCTCTGTCTGATAGCAAAAATATTTTCTAACATTTCAGGAGTGGCAGCACAGTAACATGAGGGGATGCTTCTTTGTAGAGAATGATGGAAGTATCAGCTCCCTTCAGTACCTGCTCCATGTGTCTCACACAACCAACGTCTACCTGACCATTCAACCCCTGAGCCTAAGACCCGGTTTGTTCAAGCACGTTCTGGTTTGAGATAAGCATAAAGTGTGACGTTCAGAATGAAACAAATATTCTGTTCTTAATGCTGCTCCTGTCTTATTGTTTCAGTTGCATGGTTTAAGATGCTTATTGTGACATAAATCATGGTACATCAGCTCCGACTTTGTTCCATTTCAGTGGAGCAATTTATGTAGTGTGCAGTTCAGTTTATAAATTTCAAGCAATTACAGAGATTAGATTTATACAAAACTCCCAGAAAAAATAGTAGAATCTGCGGAATTGACAGATCCAGGCTGTTTGTCGGCCGTGTGGATTTGATAGGCTTTTTTCACATGCTTCACATGTCCTCACCACGTTTCCATTTTGTTTGCACTTGCTCTAAATTTCGAACACAGCTGACAGAAAACAACCATCATTTGCCACACTGAGTTAAATTACCATTTGAAGCAGTTTCATACTAATTTCTATTGTTTCCACTGACAGCTCTCTTCTTAAGTCCTGTTTCCTGTCAGCCATCAAGGTGGGACAGCCCATTGAGCCCTGCCAGAATACTGTTTTTTAACAAACTCATTTACATCTTTAGATTTGTACAAGTCTTTGAAATTAGCAAATGATAAACCATTTCTGTTATTTCCTTTATAAGGTTTACTGAATCATCTTTTTTTCCGTAACTTAACTTAATCAGAAAACACTATTTTAAGAATAAACATGGAAAAGGATTAGCTGTGTTTTATGAAACCAGAATATTAAGCTTTATGTGGTTCTTGTAATATTTAATATTCTGTTATTCAGAATTCTTTTTATTTAAAGTCCAAATCCCTTGCTCTTGCTTTTATCATTTTTTAGAGAAGCCTTTTTCGTTAATGGCAGTAGACACAGCTCTTTTCGTCATGTCACCTGGTGAAACCAAAGACAACTCAACGTTAATATGCTTCACCGAATCTAAAGATAAGGAGGTATGTTTGTGTGAAGCACATTCATGGCACATCCTATGCATATACTGTATGCATGCATGCATGTGTGTGTGTGTGTGTGTGTGTGTGTGTGTATGTACACAAACATATAAAGATACACATATGTGTACAAATTACAATTTGTTCAGGTACTAAGTTGGAATAGATTTGTTTTGGTAGTCTGATGTCTGTGGAACTTGATGCAGCCCTTTTGTGTCTGCAGAAATACTTCTGGAAAGGAGAGTTAAAGGAAGGGACATACCACCTGCTTCCCTTTACCAGTGGCTGCAGACTGAAGAAACAAAGCAAAAAGAGCCCCTCAAGTAAACCTGTGGAACTAGTCTACAGGACTGACACTGGAGAGCTAGATCTTACCAGGGAGCTAAGGTGGGTATGATCCCATCCAATAAGTGAATCCCAAAAGCTCATAAATAAGTTTGATTTCTTTTAGATTTTTCTTGTTGAAAAAAACTTCCCAGGCCTAAATAATAAATTCTAACCTACAAAGTATCTGTAACTATCGTAGAGGTCAAAATCAAAGCCTGACTTTATGGATACATATGATGTGTTGTAAAAGCTGATAAATTAAATGAAGCTTTTCGGCTACATTTATTCTGAACTTTCTGTCTTCTCCACAGGGAGGTGCTCTCTAACATTTTTGATGTGATCGACCTGGATGGAAACGGTTTGATCAGTCTGGAGGAATATAATTTCTTTGAGCTGAGGACCAGTGGAGAGAAGTGTGATAAAGATGCCTGGGCTGTCTGCAAAGGCAAGCATCATATGAAAGTTGTTTTTCTCAATCCTAATTTCTTATAAACTGAAGGTGTGAGATCCATTAAGACTCATTAATTGTTATATTTGGACAGAAAACTTTGACATGAGGAAGAACCAGCTAACGCGACAGGGTTTCATGGAGCTGAATCTGATGGAGGCCACTGAAAAAGAAGGAGATCCTGCAGATCTGTGGATCACCCTGGAAGCCATGGGCTACAACCATTTGCTGGAACTGGTGGAGGTGGGTTTGCATGTCTGATTTCACTCCAGGTGTGGTGTGACATAATAAGATGCTATGACACTCTTATATGCTGCTTTTTCTCTCACTAATTGCCACTCTGCAGGCGTGTCCATTCCAGATAGATGTGTACTGTGAAGGCACGCAGCCATCCCTACAGCCACACGTTTTAGAGTCTGGTCACAAGCTTCTGAACCAGGCCATCCAGAAGTCCATCACAGCTCGGACAGGAGCAAAAGCGCTGAAAGGACATGACAACGTTTTAATTTACACCTACAGAGGGGAGAACAGGATTTCCTCCCTCATTGCCAACAAGGTAGACTTCAAACTTTATTAATGTTATTAATATTCTTTGACTGTGTAGGTGGTGTTTTTTTGGGAGGGGTGGGGGCGTTGCACAAGCACATACAGCATCCCTAATTCCAAACACGTAGATCAGTGAATAATCCTGTATATATATGATGTATGATTATTAAGAAGTTTCAAATCCCGTTGGCCACTAAAAAGGACTCTGTAAGGATAAGCAAAGGATCTCCCACGAGTCTCAAAGCAGTCAACCTCTGGTCTTTAGCAGCCGGAGACCATTAATTTAATTCCCATTGATATGCAGCAAGGGTCTCCGATCTCTTGGCAACTGGAGAATAATGCAGTGACACAAAGGAACCACAGATCAGTGAAAACATTAAACCTGGTTATCATGAGTAGGTAGCTGGATTTTGTCCACTTTCTCATTAGCTAGTTTTTTTGGTTGTTGAAATTATTTACTGTTGGAAACAATATTTGCTTTTCAACTTATTTTAAATTATGTATTTTCACCATTTCTACTTGTTTTTTTTGTCGTTTTTTAGACCAATCAGAAGGTGACTGTTCATGTGAACAATGAGCAGAGCAAGAACTGTTGCAGCAGCAGAGGCTTGACTGTGTTTGCTGTGGAAGTGCCAGCCAGGACAAAGATGGTAAAAATTCTTCCAGAAAACTGCTTTCGGGGATGGCTGTTTTTTGTTGTTGTTGTTTTTTAATCTCCTAAATTTCCCCTCAAAAGTTCAGTTTGAAAATGTTAAATGAGCTTTCAATTTTTAGCTGTCCGGAGAATTCCTGCTCAGTCTGTGTGGGACTCACAGCCGCGCTATGATCAAAAATAACAAACAGGCCTCACTGTCTGACTGACTGTCTGAACGGAGTTAAAGCATAGCAGCACCATCCCTTCGTGTTGTCATAGTTGCAAATTTGTCCATTTAGTTGCAGACAAACAAAGACTGCTGAAATACTCTCTGCAGCAAGAAGTGTCCTCAGCGGCAGTTCTTGCCACACAGCACGTGAATAAATTGGCATCTTGGGTAATAATCCGTGTTTTTCCTTTTAGGTGTGTCAACATGTACTTCCCATCAAAGAGAAGCAAGACTGGACATATAACTGCGTGGAGACCATACTACCTGACACATAAAGCCCAGACGTCCAGCAGAGATTTTGTATGAAAGCTGTATTAGGCTCCGATCATGAATATTTCAGGTGTGATGAAAGAGGGATTTTGGTGTGTTATGTGTCAGCTGTCGTCGCTTTACGAATGAAGATATTATAAACTTAAATGTTTCAGGCTTAATCACAGCAATATTTAATTATGTTAAAGTAGCGGGTTATTCCTGCTTCATTTGTCAAAACCAAGAACCTTTGCCTTTTAATATGGTAATAACAGCTTTCAGCTTCAGCTGTAGGATTCAAATTTCCTGTAAAGAGAGGAGAGATGGTCGTGTTTTCTTTGAATTTGCTCTTGTTGAATGTGCCTTAGATACTACGAAAAATGTTGGATTAATTTTTTAGACTGAATAAATGTATTAATAGCAAGGGCTGTTCATAGAATGTTTTTACTTTTTATATCATTAAAGTTTAAAATTATTTCAGAATTATTATTTGATATGCTGAACTGAAGATGGCATCAAACTGCATGTGTTTATACTACTTAGCATGATTTTCATATTTTAAATAATTTCTTAATTTACTTTGATGGTCTGTGTGCACTGTGTAGAATATATTTGCAGTTATTAGCCATCAAAATGTTCATTTTGGACTGTCAGGAATTGGGGTTGGCAATCAAATACATTCCCTTGAATTGCAGTCAGGTCTAAACTTAATTTGCCCTTGGACTTTCCAGTGGAGTACAGTCTTGACCTATTTATATCTCTCTCGGGCCATTATTTTGCCCTTTGACTTTCACTGCTGAAACAGTAGAGCCTGCTGCCTAAATGTCACATGGAGTATGAGATGTATTTAATATCCTGAGCTCCTTCTGCTCGTCATCTCTCAACATAGTATCACTTCAATGTTTTCTTTTTTTTAATGAAAACTTGTTCATTGTAAAATAATGTTTATGCTGGAAGAGTGATTTTCTTACCAAAATAGCTTTTTTAATTGTTAATTTAGACTGATTTACCATTAAGTCAGTGAAGAGTTGGAGTTAGTGAAAAATCACAAGCTTGTAAGACAAATCGTTCAAAGTTCAGTAAGTTGCTTTTGTGTTTGAGCAGCCTTTTTACATACAAATGCATGTCTCACATGTCTGAAGGTAAACTTTGTGATGGTCAAACACTCAGTGATGCAACAGGCAAACAGACTGTTTCCCAACCATCGCCCTGCAGAGTACACCTTTTACAACTGAAACAAACTGTTCCTCTGTGAGGATTTTTCTGAACATTTTAGGCATAGTTTTGCTAAATTTGAGATGCAGTCATTTGATTATTTATTACGTATTCAACTGATTTGAATTGATATTCTGGTGATTTTCGTCTGGAGTTTTTTGTGATCAGTCAGTCTTTTTTTCAAGTTTCCTTCAGCTTCAAATAAATGTAACTCGTTCAATGTCCAAAATGACGGAAAGAGATTTTTTCCATTTTTGTCCTTACATTTTACATATCTCTGTTGGGTATCTACAGTGGCATTTTGAGAAGACAAGAAGGTAAACACCAAAAAAATGTTTATCACTGTTTGGACCAATCCATATCTGAAACCCTGTCCTCGGTCTCATTCTTTCATTTAACTGTTTATCTCAGAAAGGAGTTTTTAAATCTAAGGGACCCTCTTCAAAACTCAATAGTAAAAGTTTCATGGTAGGTTTAAAAACCTAGGAAGGTTATAATTGGTCCCTTAAGGCCAACAAAACAGAAAAGACCACAGCATACCTCTCATAACTTGACACCTGGTGAAATTTGATCATTAAAACTTCTTAAATAATATATACAACACCTAAAACATCCAAATAATGTCGGGACGATGAAAATTGTTTATTCAGTTTTACGTATGGTGCAGTCATGTGGAGGACACAATGCAGCATTCAAGAGATAAGAGAAAGATAGACTTATTTATCTATTGACATTTTTAGTACACTACAGTTAATGAAAAATAATTAGTTTGAAGTGATCAGTAGACTTTACCCAATATGGTATGTTCCTAATTGCTTATTTATCATGTCAATAGATTTTTTTGTCATAGAATATCTTGTCAAAGGTGTTTGAGACTGCCAATACCTGCTTTTACAGAGAATGATTCAAAGTGACAGTTCTGTGCCCGGCATGAACCGGACCCGGCCTCTGGGGGGGTGGAGGAATCCCTGCTTGCCCTTTAACAGAGGCGGGTGTGAGGGGGGGAGTTGTCCGCTCAGTACGTGCGGCAGCTCCGCTTCTGCAGTCGCCTCCTTCACGCCCGACACTGCGGACCACACGGGGGTTGACCATCGGGGCTCAAACATGGTGAAAATTACCACCGTACAGACCAAGCCGTACGCGGACCAGAAGCCCGGCACGAGCGGCCTGAGGAAGCGGGTGACCGTGTTCCAGCAGAACCCGCACTACGCGGAGAACTTCATCCAGAGCATTGTCTCCGTCATCGACCCCGCCGAGCGCCAGGCGGCCACCGTGGTGGTGGGAGGGGATGGGAGGTTTTTCATGAAAGACGCCATTCAGTTGATCGTCCAGATTGCAGCTGCCAACGGGGTCAGTTGGAGAGGCAAATGTTGTTTGTGAAGTGGGTGTTTCTGGCTAAGTGCGCCCGGGTAGCATGCTAGCTAGCAAGTTACATTCACACTGTGAATTGTATTCGCTTCATTTCTCAACACCTTGTGCTACTTGTTGACGGTGGCTACTTTGGGGAGAGGTTCGGTTACTTAATAGCTTAATACTAATGATAAGAACAGCTCAGGTCAAACAAAAGCCCCTAAACTATCCACGGAGTATAATTTGTAATTCAGTTTCTCACGTTGGGTCGACGCTATAAAACTCTTTGGCTAACTTTATTGCTTTAGCAAGGGTTTTAAAATGAATTCCATTTTACTAGTATTGTTTTTTGTTATCAGTACAATAAAACAATTTCCCTTCTGCACACCAACTGCTTGCACTTGTTTGTGCAATTCCCCCTCATTCTCGTGGTGGGAGGCAGGTCAGTTCTTGTGAAGAATGGCATGCTTCGTTGGCCATAATGTCGTGTAGCCTGTCTTAATGGAAAACTTTAAGATTCTCGTCAGGTTTTGGGGATGCAGCCAACAGCCTGCAGGGTGCTCCTGTTGTCTGCTATGGCGGTGTTTGACCGCAGTGATCTTTGGGATAAAGTGCATGATGGAGTCCACTGGCATATCAACCGGCTACCTTTGACATTTAAACACCCGAGACCGCGGCGTCCCAGCGTGGATCGTTCAGATGTTTTTACGATCCTCTCTTAACAGTCTCAGTTTCTCTCTTGCATTGGTCTATAAAACATATGTGAAAAGAGCACACGGTAGTTTTAATTTAGCTTGAGAATAATCTGTGATAAGACCACTGTGAGCTAGGGGGCGTGACGTGCAGCCTGTCACGTTGGCCTGCGTTAGCCTTTAGCAGCCGCACGGCTAATGCATGCTAAACATCCTAATTTAATAAGGATTCGGTCATTTTATGGATTTGATATTCTTGGGACGCCGATAATCGAGCTTCCAAACGAGAATACAGGACCTGTAGGTCTCCATATTGACTGAAAGTGACCTTCTCTCCTGGAGATGGCTGCTGTGCGTCTGTCCCTGATGGCGCACAGCAGCATTGCTACATGCAGGATCTGCAAATGATGCCAGTGACTTAGACTTGCTCAAGAAAGTCGATTTGTGATGTTTATTTGGGCCATTTTTCTGCTGGTGTTGAGAAAGTGTTGGTAGGGAAATTATATTACTTCCTGGCAGACACAGTTGCCCCATAGTTCAAATGTTTACACAACATAAACTGGGATGGAGGGGGTGGGTGGTATGCTTTAAAAACTGAAGAGTGAAGGTTCAGTGTATTTTTCTGCAACCTCTTTTGCAGTTGCACCTAAAAAACACTGTGAATAAAAATAAAAGTAAAAAGCAGCATTTGTGCCTAACAAATCTACATTATGTGAAAGCTTGCCTCTAAAAAATTGTTATTTTCTTTTTCTTCTGCAGATTAATAATTTGGTAATTGGTCACAATGGCATTATGTCCACCCCAGCAGTCTCCTGTGTGATCCGCAAGATAAAGGCAGTAGGTGGTATCATCCTCACTGCCAGCCACAACCCAGGGGGCCCCAATGGAGACTTTGGCATTAAGTACAACATTGCCAGTGGAGGTGAGAGGGGATCACCCAAAAAGTTGACCCAAAGTTTAAACACCCTGCAGTTCAAACTGTGTAAAAGAATGAAAAACAAAAATTCTGTCATAGCAATAGCACCTTTGTATCTTTCCAGCTGTTGGTATATATTTAACCCACAGTTCTTTACTTCCTCCACAGGTCCAGCTCCTGAGGGCATCACAAACAAAATATTCGAGATCAGCAAAAGCCTGCAGGAGTATCACATCTGCCCAGATCTCAAAGTGGATCTGTCCAAGATTGGAAAGCAGACCTTTGAAGTGGACACCTTCAAGCCTTTCACAGGTAGAGTAGAATCCTGTCGTCACCGGAAGGAAAAAGTGATCATGTCCAATCTGTTTGTAAACTCGACCTGGTCTTTTCAAATAAAGAAGGCATAAGTTTTTATCTAAAGACTACTGTGGCTAAATCAAATGAAGTCCACATCATTACATCTAAAGTGTTTTTTACTGGCTCTGTCTCAGTTGAGATCGTGGACTCGGTTGATGCCTATGCTGAGATGCTAAGAGGCATCTTTGACTTTGCTGCACTGAAAGATCTTCTCTCTGGAGCCAGTCACATTAACGTCCGACTGGACGCTATGCATGGAGGTAAGGAGCGGCCCACAGCGGGAGTAAGCAGTTTGGTTATTTCTTGTCTTAAATGTTAAGGCCACTGTATTTAATGACACTTTCTCCCCCTCTAGTGGTTGGGCCTTATGTCAAGAAGATAGTGTGTGAAGAGCTGGGCTCTCCAGCCGATTCGGCAGTCAACTGCATACCCAAGGAAGACTTTGGCGGCCACCACCCTGACCCTAACCTGACCTATGCTGCTGACCTGGTCAACGCCATGAAAGGGGGAGAGTATGATTTTGGAGCTGCCTTCGATGGTGATGGTGTAAGTGTTGTAACTTTTGTTTTTAAAGGAATTATTTTACATCCTTTAAAGTTGACTGAGTATCAGGAATACAGCTTTTAAGAAGTATGAGCTATATTTGAATCCTTGGTCTCAGGTCAGCATGAAATTATATTCTGGACTCATTGATTTGTTTCTTTCTCCCATTTTGATGGTTAAGCATTTTTAATAAAAATGATGAGCTAATTAATGATAATGAGTCTAACAGGAGTGCTTTACAGTCTTTGTATTCAGTCATCCATGTGACATAAAAACAACATAGTACAAACGCAAATGCACTGTGATATGAATATAATGGGAAAGAAAACTGTGGTTTATCATTGGTGAGGGGTCCTGTTGCCTCATAAAATGGATACTAATAGTTTCCACTGCTCAGCCGTCTTGTGTTTTTTGTGTCTGTTCACTCTGATTTCACTATGTTTTTCCAACTGTTCAGGACCGCAACATGGTGCTGGGTAAGAACGGTTTCTTTGTAAATCCCTCCGATTCCGTGGCTGTCATCGCTGCCAACATCACCAGCATCCCGTACTTTAAGAAGACTGGGGTCAAAGGCCTGGCCCGCAGCATGCCCACCAGTGGAGCCCTGGACAAGTAAAAACAAAACCCAGCATAAATGATTATTCAACTTACTTTCTTTCTTTTTTTTACTTCAGTGAATTATAGAGCTGTCTTTTATGCTACACCTTCTAATCTGTTCCAGTGTGGCTAAAGCTCAACAGATGCAGCTGTATGAGACTCCAACTGGCTGGAAATTCTTTGGGAATCTGATGGATGCTGGTAAACTCTCGCTGTGTGGAGAGGAGAGCTTTGGCACAGGTGAGAGCTAATCGTCAGCTTTGTGTGTCTTGGACTCCACTAAGACAAAGCGCTGTTCTCCTTCATCCCCTCTTATCTCTGCTAACCTACCAGGCTCAGATCATATCCGTGAGAAGGATGGCTTGTGGGCTGTGCTGGCATGGCTGTCAATCTTAGCCACCAGGAAACAGAGCGTGGAAGAGATCATGAAGGATCACTGGCAGAAGTTTGGCAGGAACTTTTTCACAAGGTCAGGAGTGACGTCTGCAGAGAGATTTGTGAAATGAGTCGGATAAGAGGAGAATTTCATTCAGTTTGTGGTGAGAGATTTAAAAAAAGTAATTGTTGTGATAGTGCATAGAACACCTTTCATTAGGTGGAAGCATCAGTCTGAAATATTGCTTTTCCATCATCCTGTGGCAAAAAAGAGAAGTGCAGCATGTGAGAGAGTTCAGATGTTGGATCACATTAATTTTTCTTCTGCATGGAGTTATGTGAAGATTCTTTCCTCCGTCACCTAAACTGAGAATCAAAACTATCATATTTAACCAGATGTTCCCATCTATCCAATGCCAGATATAAAGCAGGTTACATTTCTGTGCAAATTTCAATTCCAGGTACGACTATGAGGAGGTCGACTCAGATGCTGCCAACAAGATGATCAAGGATCTGGAGACACAAATGTTCGAGCCCTCTTTTATAGGGAAGAAGTTCTCATCGGGAGACAAAACGTATGAGGTGGCAATTTCTGACAATTTTGCCTACACGGACCCAGTAGATGGCAGTGTGTCTAAAAACCAGGTAAGAGGCTTTTTAGGAAAGCGTATTCAGCCATCACCAAGCTCCGCCAGTGACTTAGACCATATCCCACAGAAGTGTTTAAAAGATATTTCATCTTAATTTTAAGGGTGAGCTTACCTTATTTGATTTATAATAATTATTTACGAAATTCAGAGATTAGCTGGATACCTTTTTTTAAAGCCATGGCTGTCTATCTTTGTGTAACAATACCACTCACCTCATTGATTTTACTTCCACATGTTCCCAACTCTGTTTGTTTAAATTTTTTATCTTAATGGTCTCTGTCTTCTCACTTCTTTTTCATTCTCTCAGGGCCTACGGATCATCTTCTCTGATGGTTCAAGGATCATTTTCCGTCTCAGCGGTACAGGCAGTGCAGGGGCAACCATCAGGCTCTACATAGACAGCTATGAGAAGGATCCCCAGAAGATATATCAGGATCCACAGGTCAGGGCAACGATGAGTTATCCCAGCTGGCTTCATCCAGTGAGAAAAGATTAGACACTGATGGAATCGGACCAATATAAACAGTCTTCTTTTCTTGTGGATGTTTTTGTATGTGATCATATAAAAATGGGAGGGGGGTGTTACACAGTCCGTCCTCATCATCCCCACAGCTTACAGCAATCAAGGGTTCAGTTAAAAGTGAGAAAGCTGGTCTCATTTGTACCATTCAGGACTTATTTTGGGTAGAGCTCTCCAACAGAAAAATTGGAGGGATTTTATTCAGTTTGGGAAATTACAGTTTGGCCAAATTATGAGTTGTGACAGTTTATTGGGGTCTGTATGGAGAGATTTAACACAGGGGTAAAGTCGAGTGTGTTTTCATTCTGACACTTCATAAAGTAGTTTTGACTAGTGTGGATAGGGAGCTGGTGTTGGACCAGAATTGTGGAGGGAATAAAGATTTTACCAGTGTCCATTATCCTCTTGAATAATATGATAAGCAGAAACATATTGCTTTACAGTCTAACTCTGACAGAAATATATCTACTGGGTGTAGAGCTCACATGGCTGACTAAGGGAACTTTAAATTTACACAGGCATTTTTTAAACTTATTTCCTAAATACGGTCATCATAACAGATGTTATTTTGGTGTAAGGCATCTTTGAAAATACTATTAATCCCAGATATCTGGTTAGATCATGATGGCTGGACTGTAGAGTTTAAGACTGATCAGGTGTTAGATAAATGAGCAGTGTCCTCAAAAAGATGACATGTTTGACTTAGACAGATATGAGACCACAGACACACAATCTCATAAAAGCCATCTTGAAAAGACCTTCATAAAAGAATGGAAAAAGAGATCCAGGTATCAGTGTTGAAACGTTTTGGTGATGGTTTACTTGTCAGATGATAATCAAGTTTAATATCTGTTATTCTAAGTTAGCTGACATGTGAAACTTTTATTCATACGTCTTTATTTCATTTAAAGACTTATTTAAGTTAAAGAACCTGTAGATTTAACAATAAGGTAACAGTTTTTCTTGGAAAACTGAGATTACACTCAACGTTTTCCACTAGTTCTGAATCACATGGAAATGAGATACAAACGTTTCATATTAACTGGTTCATCCACATTTGTTTGGGTGTTTGTTTCTACACATTCTCAAAAACATTAAAAACAAACAGTTTGTGTTCCATAAACATGTGGGAAGATTAGAGATGAGCTGGTTGCAGTCTAAAAAATCACCACTAGAAGGCACCAAATCTCTCTTACTCTAAAGTCTCAAGACTACTCGTTAAATATCCCGATCCTCCTTCTCCTGACACTTAAAAGGGTCATAAGAAGCCTCATGTTTAACTGAATCAGCATAGATGGCACTGACTTTCCCCTCTGTTTTTTGCTTTATTCAGGTGATGCTGGCTCCCCTGGTAGACATTGCCCTCAAGATCTCTCAGCTCCATGAGAGGACCGGCCGTAGTGGCCCAACTGTGATCACATGATTCCTCTGCCACCCTGCCTACTCTCGTGAGCAACAAAATACCTCCACCGTCTTTGGGAAGAAGCTCCTCCTGTATGCTGTCCTCTGTGGTATACAACCCTCCGTAGAATAGAATTGGAATAAAAAAGGGAAACTCAAAATGCAGATTCAAGAAAAGCAAATACACATGGAACACTTGATTTTGCTGAAATATATTCACTGCCTTACATTAAAAACACCATTGCACATGTTCACATAGGGCAAGTTTTAGGAGTGCTTTAAAAAATGCAGAAAAGTAGACTTGAGTGTGCTTCATGTTTTGTTTTAAAGTAAAACTGTTATCTGTCACAGTTACAAATCATATGGTGCAGAGACTGCTAAACTGAGCATTAATCTGTTATGTTGAGCTACTTCAGCCCAATCTCTCCAACTTTGTCCCACTATGACCTGGTGCCTTCACCTTCTGTGTTCTTCCAAACCACTGGGACAGCCTCCCAACATCAACCACAGCTATTATCTGGTGAACCAACTCACTTATCATGAATAAAAGAGCCTTACATCTAAGAACTGTTGCTATGGTCTTCCTTTTTGATATTCTTTTCATTGTTATCACTTTCTTTAAAAGAAACCAACTGATTTTTGAACAAGCAATAATTGCTTGAGTTGACCAGAAAGAAGAAATCTGAACATTTGCGACAGAAAGTGGAAACTCGTCATTTTCTGTGAGGTGATAGCTTTTGTACAGTCAGTAAAATACTTAAAACGGTGATATTGTTATGCCGTGAGTGAGCCCAGCAAGGAGAACTTTGAAAAAGATTGTCTGTCTAAAGACATTCCTGAGGTAAATGAAGAGGCATATACTGATTCATTCTCTTCCTCCCTAAATCTTGCGTAATGTAATAGTCACTGTAAATCTGATGAATTATTACCATTTCGAAGTGTCAGGAGGACAGAGCACAAAAACTCTACAGATATTCAGATGGGCTGATGTTGAACTCAGACTTTTGAAAGTAAATTGGGTAAAATGTAGTTTGTTATTAGCTTGCACTTAACACAACTACACACTACCTGTTAGTACAAAAACATAACAAAATAGCTCTTTATTTCTGATCTGGAACTAACTTATAATTCATGCTGGATTCTCTTTCAGATAAAGAACATGATGTATGATGACTGACTGTTACAACCTGCTATTACTGCAAAATGTACATTTCCTGTAATTTTACTTCCACAGCATTTAGACACATATTTCACATGACATTGTTGACCATTACAAGCCAGATCTGATTAAAAATTTAATCGTTTATCTTTGTTTGACTTGCAATTTCAGAAATGGTTTTTAAGCCCAATTGCTTGTCTTCAAAGGTAGAGGACCGGGCATTTGGGCTCTATAACTATCCTAAACAGTTCCTCTTTATTCCTTAAGGAGCCTGAACAGGATGGAAACTTTTTCAGCCTGCATTGTTCGAGGCCTGTCAAGCTGACATTGTGCAATGCATAAAGTTTGGCTCATAATGGCTCACAGACTGTATTTGGATTGGCTGTCATTATATCAGGTAATCACAGAGAGGCTTACATTAAACTGGCCTGGTCTCTGGTTATTAGATGTCCAAATGGCTTTTTCTAGTGCTGGCATGGATCCGTGTGTTTTTAAGAGTGGTCTCTTCAGGTCTTTCCTGTTAAAGAGGGCAATACAGGGGACAAAGACATAATTATCCAAGTTCTCAAATAAAGTCAAGGGGACATATGAGGTTTCACTCCACTCATGTTGTCTGTATAAACTTTCCTTCGCTCTTCTCCACTGATTTACGACAACCAGATCAAACTTGAATAAACCTTTCATTGTTGCTCTACTGCTCTGATTGGGAAATTACGTTTAGTATCTTTTACAACCTTTTGCAGAGAGTATGAATCCGCCATTTCAGAAGCAACTCCTACAGACTTAAAAGAACTTGAACAATGAGACGAGAAATAAACCAGCAAAAACTTCTAGCCAGCTACAGTTAATGGTCGGACGAACAATTTTAATTCTGGTTGTCATGGTACAGTAATTGACTATTCAGTTACCATGATTTAGACATTTAGCTGTACTAAATTATGTATATTTGCAATCTCAGGGGTGATTTTTTTATGTCACATATTTCACTTTATGGCATGTCCACTAAAAAATAAAACCACAAACAAGTGAGGGCACATTTCAGCACTTTTATGTTTTACCTTGGAAAAGTCTATTTCTTTCACGGCCATCCCAATTTTGATCTACTAGGCAACTTAAACTAGGCTGCCTCGCTAAAGCATGACATCATCTATTGCTCATCCACCAGCAGGGAACATGCTTTGACAGGTTGTGCAGGGTTAGCAAAGTCCCAGACAATCTCCAAAAAGGCTGACATTAATAGATGTAGAGGCACCACATGAATCATCACCACTTTTACACTCTCAGTTTTCCAGGTCTGGAGCCAGAGTGCACAGATGATGTGTGAGGCTATAAAAACTGTTCAGTCACAGCGCATGATGAGTTGGAACATTTCTTCTCTGACCACTGGGTTGAACCAAACCGGGTGGAATCCAGGTTGGATCCTGTCCAAGTCTCTCTTTTTGGCTGTTCTTTTGTCTCTAAATCAGGGTGAAAACAAATACTCCGGGAGACAGCGCACTTATATGGTCCGTTGTCCTGCCGGGTGTTTGATGGAGGGACTTTCGGACGTTTGTGTTGATCTCAGGATGAAAGTCGATGTCAAGGCTTTACACTGAGTTTCAAATGTTAAAAAATTGACAATTAACATAATCAGAGGAGCTACGTCTTTTTGTCTGATTTAACAAAAATCTAATATTGTGATACCCAATAGTTAAATGTATTAGTGAAGGGAAACATAACACAGTAAACCCTTTGAGGCTTGTGTGGTAGATGCTTGCACCGTTCTGCTGACTGAAATTCGATATGATTTAATGCCCTGTGGAGAACATCAGCCCATTACTTTAAAATTTTTAGAGATGTTTCAAGAAATTGCATTAAATGAAATATGAAGAAAAGATGAGGTGGGTGTTGTCTTCTTGCAGTAAAGATTTTCTTCCTTCTTTACACAATGACTAGCCTTGAAAATATCCGGGTAATCTAGAATTAGTTGTGTCAATATGTTATCGATATCAAGTTACCTTCTCTGATTTTCACAGATGTGTCGGAAAAGACAGGATGAAATGAAGTCTGTATTGTACTTATCTGCTGATCGAAAAATGCATGAAATGCTAAAACATTTACAAAGAGGTGCAAATAATCAGACAAAAAGCACAAATAATTTATATCACGATTATATGGCATGAAAGAGAAAACAAAACTGGAAGAAAAGTATGAAAAGATAAATAAGATCTGGGGGATTTATAGATCATCCTTGTCATCCTTTCACTCCGTTATTGACTGAGACATCATTCTTAATTCACGAACAAAGACCCTCCCTGTCTTTATGGTGTGGTTCCAGCACAAATCCTCTGGGATCTGCTCTTCAAAGAGACCTTTTGAACCCTGATCCACTCTTGCTATAAAGTTTGATGACTTTCACCACGCATGGTAGCAATTTTAATAATCTACCCTACTTTTAGCAGAATGAACTTGATATGCATCAAGGGGGAGAAACAGACCAGTGTGAGGAATGGTCCCCGAATTTGATCAGCCTACTGGTTAAGCCATCTGCTGGTGAATCCCCTTATGCTCATGGGGAGCTCCCTATTACAAAGGAAATCATTGAAACGCATAATGGGTTCAGTTGATCTTTGTGGGTTTGCAGAGAATCTAAAAGGGTGAGAACCAAAGCTCAAACGTGATCATCTCACACATTTTTCTAGACTGTTGTCAATCACGCCCATTTCATTTTGTTGAGTTTGACAGCTATTTTGTTTTAATTTGCTCACCACGTTATGTTACTGGATATATATTGAAACTCTGTGTTGTGCTAAACGAAATGTGATGTGAAACAATCTACCTACACATATTCAGTATTCACGATTTTGCCTCTCTTTCAGTCCTTAGATGAAAATATTCTATTCTTAACCCCTCTTCTTGTATGCTCTTCCTGTATTGTCAAGCTAAATCAAAACACACCTATCAATATGACGCTTCCCTCCAATGAACAGATGGTCTTAATAAGTGAGAGCCACAGATGCTAAATTGCTACCATTCTTTTCCTGCCTTCAAAAATGTCATTATTTGTGTTTGAATGTGTTCTGTGTGTGCAGAAACACACAGAGAGGCCAAGTATGTGTCAAAATCCAAAAGTAAGTTGTGTTGAACGAAGCACGGCGTGGGGTTACCGAGAAAAAGTGCGGTGGCATAACAATAATTGTAAACCTCTGAGATAAGTGACTCATGGGCTATGTGTGTCTGTGGCACAAGAGACCTTTGTCTTTTCTTTGCATTTCCTCTTTCCTCCATCCATCTGCCTCTGTCTTTGTATGCAATACATAGATGCAAAGTAAATGATTGACGGTGAATTAAGCACTTGTGGTTTTGATGGGCTGGGTAATATATCTCCTTAACACCAAAGAACCAAGACGCATCATAAACAAATTAACTAGATTTTAAGATCACGTTAACAGTTTATCCATCCACATTGCTTCAATTTGCAATTTGCTGAACCACAATTTCTGAGCCTATCCCAGTAGTTCAGGGGTGGGCAACTCCGGGCCTCGAGAGCCACTGTCCTGCAGGTTTTAGAGGTTTCCCAGCTTCTGCACACCTAATTCAGATCAAACTGATCTCTTTTAAAGGCGCTTCAGTTCTGAACAGGTGTGCTGATGTTGTGTTGATGTGAATTAGGTGTGTAGAAACCTCTAAAACCTGCAGGACAGTGGCTCTCGAGGCCCGGAGTTGCCCACCCCTGCAGCCTGGACGGTCTGCCAGTCCATCGCAGGGCTACACAGAGACACACAACCACGCACACTCACACTTTGGAATGTACAATCAACGTAACATGAAGGTTTTTGGACGGTGGGAGGAAGCCGGAGAACCCACACAGAAACAGAGAGAACAGGCAAACTCCACACAGAAAGGTCCTGGTTCAACTGTGAAACTTTTGTTGACAGAATTTAGTTTGCATCTCCAATTATCAGCTGTTTAAATGCTAAACATTCAGCATCTAGTCTTGTCTCGGTGCAGGAACCCTGGTAGTTCCTACAGTGAACACACAGCGGCGACACGGCTCTGATCAGGACCGCATGGCTGCTGCTTCCAATGTGAGTTTCGCACAGAAGTTTGGTGGAAGGACTGCGCTCATTTCGCCAGAGACACAGTGCAGGAGCAAAGTAAGCCGGGCTGCAGAGGAAGAAAAGAGCCAGAGATCGTGGGAGACGTATTTTTCTTTAAGACCCTCCTCAAGTACTTTTTTTTTATTTATCCAAAGTTCCTGTGCGCGTTGAGCGAGTCTGGGCAGCGGCGCGCACGTCACCAACGCACCGAATTGCGAGTCGTTGACCTTCTTTTGTAAGGACTCGTGATAAATTATTGTGCGTTGTGGATGTGAAGATCGGTACAGGGGTTCAACGCAGATCCGGAGGAATGGATCCAAATCGGGTAGCGGTTGGTAAGCGTCAGTGGAGATGTCCACCCTGCGCTCTCTGGATCACCCTGCTCCTCCAAAGTGTCCTGGACCTGAGCGCGTCTGGTGAGTGCTTTTTGTCTTTGGAAATAACCAGCGCAGTTCCTTGGCTTTTTTTTTTGTTGGGGGGGAGGCTCATGCGGTTTATCTACATTAAACTATGTGCCAATCTTGACGGAAAAAAACACTATCTTCCTGCAGTATGTTCCTTTATATGTCCAACGTGTTGTTTTTCCAGACTCTTTGAAACCAGTTAAGTCCTCTTTCACCTTGTTTATAGTTTGGATCCTTCTGTTTGTTTTTCACTCCTGAGATTATCCCATTAACTTTCTCAAAGCTCTGTGGCTTCTATATAGAGCCATCAGTCAGCTTCTCGTCTCATGCAAATGCTCTTTGGTTTTTAGATTACCGGCCCATTGTCATTCTGAAGCCTCGGCACGGGGAAACACTTCACTCCATTGATAAACCGAGGGCTAGTTTTAAGAATAGTCTTTGTGTATCTACCCCCTCCCGGCCTGAAGATGGAAATCAGTTCAGAGATAAGGGATGAATGCAGGGCTTTGCGGTAGTCATCAATGGCTGTAAATAACACGAAAATGGACGGGATCTCAAGTAATTGGCTATAATTTTCAGTTCCTTTTGCCTTAGACGAAATTATACTGTGAGTCACATTCCACTCCCTCCTCTCTAAAAAATGTCACTGTGTGCGGCGTTGTCAGGCTGATTTGATTAATTTCTGTTTGAATTAAATATGAGTGGTTTATAAAGCCTCTAATGGTTTGCATTTACATTTTTCCTTCACTTTTGCGTGTATAGTTTGTATCACATGATCCTCCCAATCCAGATGGGTAGTAATCTGTGATCCTCTGGGTTTATTTAAATTACCTCTGTCCTCCCTAAATGCCTCTGGCATTAATTTACAGTGAAGATGTACTGTATGCTGGATCGAACTGTTTGGATTTGACTTTTTACTGTAGCTTTACTTTTCTCATCCGCTTTCCTCTTGTATCTTCTGACCTCTTTTTTGCCCTGAGGTAGAGAGGAATGTTAATCCACTATACTTAAAAGGACGAGTTAGGCTATGACTTCTTAAAATGAAGTTTCATGGAAGAATATGAAGTAGAAAGAATCCTAAGCCCCTGCTCTTTAGCTTCTCTTGATCTTAAAAG